CCGTCGCGAGACGTCCACCCGCGCCAGCGGCAGCAGGGGTCATCACCCCGCTGGCGTCGCGCTCCCGAGGCGCGCTGGGACTGGCCGCGACGTTCGGGTCAGTTTGCGTCGCCGCGCGGGCAGCGGGGGACTGATGGTCTCGCGCCGCGCCTCATAAACCGAGCGACGGCCTGGACCGCGGCCCCGGGCTGACGGGGCTCGCAGCAAAAGGTCGGGGTCGCATACCGCCGTCGGCAGCCAGGTGTCACGCGCTGGGTGCCGGCGGGAGCGGCGCCGGCGGCGGAGGGATGAAAGGAACGAGGGGAGCAGAAGGATGGTGAAAATGCTGACGGTGGAAGAATGCGTCCCTGGTGGTTCTCTCCCAGAATATGTTGGCATGTAGCTGGCTTTATATGTTGGCGTCACCGACATTCCGTTGGTAAACGGAACCTTGAAAAAGTATGTGAGTGCGAAACTCCAAGCTCGATACGCTTGCCAAGAGCAGGGCTCTTTTGAAGGTCGACAAGCCGCTGATGCTTTCCTCGCTCATCATAAGGCCTCAGTCCGTTATAGCGATACCAGCTGTGATGTCTGTTTTGGCCCTCCGAGTTCCCCGTCGTCAGCAATTGGCTTCACTGTCAGTGGCAGGCCAGGCTGAATCAAACCTGATTGGGTTTCAAAGCCATTCGAGCTCTGCCAGAATGGAAGTCTAGATAGCAATGCTGGCAAGATTCCGTCGCCATTTTGAGCTCGTCGCCTGCCATATATTGGTTGAAATGTTCCATGGACACCCTCCTCAGAGAAGGAAAAGTATCACACGCTTTCGATGTCGTCGGCGACTCCGAAATCATTCTCGAACCTGACAAACTTGTCAGGTCTTAAAAACACGGCAAGCATCTATGCCAGTGTTTCCCTATCTGTTTAGGATCCACCCCCTGGGACGCATGTAATTGTTAGTCCCCTTATTATACAACAAAACTGCATTAAATACTTAAAAAATAAAATAATGAAAAACAGGATCGAATGTACAGATGATGTGTTGCATAGTGCTACGGTTATATATGTATATATATATATATATATATATATATATATATATATATATATATATATTCGTCTGCGAAGACAATCGTTGTGAATAATATTTCATTGGACCCACGAGGCAGATTGGACAATAATCAGTCTAGCAGGTCCAGCGAATTGTTTTGCGCAACGGTTCTTTTCGGGATTTTTTCGGGAACACAAAGCATCAGATAACTGCAAAATCAATAGCTCGATTGGGCTTGAATACCCTACTACCGTGGAAATGCTTTCTTTTTTGCTACCATAGCACATATTTTTGCCTCACTCCACGCGTCGCATGGCAGCGCATGCGGCAACACCACCTTCCAATCAGCGGATACCCGTTGGCGGTACCAAGGCGGCTGTCATTCTTGACTCGACACGATCTGGCTTCATCGTGATCCCCCCCCCCCCCCTAAACCCTTGCATTCCGCCCGCAAGAGAACTCCCCGTCCCTCTTCCTCGGTTGGGAATGCCTGATCTACGCGACCAAATACCTGAGTGCGCTGTACAGGGCATTGAGTGTTTGCAGAATCAGGTTCAAGATTGCTATCGGCTCTCAGGGTACTTCACTGAAAGGAAACCCTGCACGGGGCACGACCAGCCGGTCTGCGGTCAACGGACTGAAGTACTGACAAAACTTCTCGTTTCGTGATTTTCTTCATAGCAACATTCGCCTCGGGTCAAAGTGTTGAGTTTGACTGAATTGAAACGTGCGCATTTATATGGGCATTTGACCGACCCGATGCTGATTGCCTATCATGATCGGCCTGCGAGCAGTCAGTGCAGCAGTGACGCCACGTCCGTGTGGTCAGTGGCCGGGCAGAGAGGACATCGATCCCAGTGTCAACGCGCCACGCTGACGCCAAACGTCGCCTCACACGGTGTCTCGTACACCTGCCGCCGGAGATACTGCTGCGGTTTACAAAAATCTGGAACAGGTGAAACTTGTTCCCGTGAATCATCTACGGAGGAACGGTAAATCTCAGTTGCCACACCGAGGCGCGCGCGCGCGTCGGCTCGTTTTCCGCATTGAGGCACGGCGGCAGGTGTGTCATCGACTTCTGTCTGGTCTTTTTTCGAAGGAAGATGATGGTGAACTGAACCTTGTGCAAGAAGCCGGTAGAGAGCCTGTTCATCCGTTACGACTTATGAGAGATTGAAAGTTCTTTCAACCTTTAAACCCTCAACTAGCCGGTTATTCTCATGAACTAGAAAGTGAAGCAAGAGTATAAAAAGTGTAAGGTGGATTCAAAAAGTTGATGCAGAGGTGTGCGCAAGAAAACCGTCGTAATTCAACAACGAGGGTTGCAAGGAAATTCTTCCAAGAACACTTTGTCACATGCTCTGATCGAAATCTTATTGCGCTCAGACACCTTAACATAGCGAAATGCTTTACTGTATCGATCTGCCCGCAACGCTCTGGCGTTGAGACCTGGACAGCTTTATCCAAATTTCAACCTTGCAAATATTTGCTCAGACAGCTTGGACAGGTGTCGGCGTCCAGTGACCTTTCTCGTAGAAACTTCGGCAAAGTCTGCAGTAATGTATCACTTTTCGGAGGCATGTGTCGGAGGGTCCATGAGTTTTCTAAAGTTCAATCCATTCCCGGACACGTTGCGCCATGAAGAATAAAGTCGAGAGTTGGACTCGACTCTATCGATGAATATCTGACATCGAAAGTGTTAAATGCTATGTCCATTATGTGAGACAAGTTTGCATTACTTGAAAGCGCTTCAACTCAGGCACGCAAAGCCTACTCAGAAGGCTTTCCAGCCGACCTCCTTCCCTGTGTCATGCTCGGCAATGCGACCTGGAGCCGACTGCAGCAGAGCAGCCCCTGTCATCAGCGTATTTGGGCTCCCAAAACACGTGTCTAAAAGATTCGTAATGCACATGCGTGCATTGTGTGTACCTAACTGGATTTATGGGACAGTTTCATATGCATTGGTATGTCAAGGTAAAATACCTTGGACGTTGAGCGCCAGCAAACACTTAACACCTGAGCAATGTAAGGCTGTTGACCAACGCTTCAGTTTTCACAGTCCCACGCAATCCTTTGGTCTTCGCGCAAGCCGCAAACCTTTGATCTTTTCTAGTAGGATCGTTTAAACGTAACACGTAGCTGCCAACCATGGCTCCGTGCAACTGGCCCATCGCGCACAGACAGACGCCCTTGTTCCGGATGGGCCCTGTCGCCTCGACGCGAGGGCCTCCGGACTCGCGAGGTCCTCCGGACTCGCGCCGCTCGACCGCCGCGAGCGCCTCCGGACTCGCGCCGCTCGGACCGCGCTCGAGCCCGATCGCCTGGCGCGCCGGTGGGCTGGTCTCCGTCTCCGTTGTTTGCGGGCTCAGCCGGCCGACCAGCCGGAGGCCGCAGGCCGGCGGGAATACCGAGCCGCCAGCGTGCCACGGTCACTTCATTTAGCCCGACTTCCAAGGAGATGTTGAAGACTCTGCATGTTGGTGCGAGCAGCCGAAGGAGACTAATTGAGCTGTGGCCGCCGACGTCCCTTCTATGAATAAATAATGAATGGAGTGCTGATTGGCTGCCTATTGATGGGCTTCGAGAGAAAAATAAACTTTGCTCTGCATCATCCGCGGGAACTACACAAACTGCCGGTCGGCGCGACGCCCAGGCCGGGCCGGCAGGGGTAGCAGCTGGGCGTGATAAAGCCGCCGGGGCCGGAGAATAGAATAGTGGGCACAGCTGGTGCGAACGGTGTCAGCGATGTGCTATTCCCGTTTGGCGTTTCAGCCACCGGAGACCGAGAAATATACTGCACATCATCTGTCTCGGCTCAGCGCGTAAAACTCTGCCTCGCTTTATTGCGCCGTGAATATTCCGACCCAGCGTCCTTTCGAATAAAGCTGTGTGATATCCTGTGCATCGATCAGCGCCTCCTTAGATGTTTAACATTGGCGCTCGGGTGCTTTGCTTGTTGTTGTTTCGATCCCTTATTGCGTATTTGCCTTTATTCTAATTAACATCATTGTCTGCGTTTTTGTCATAATTATCGAAGAGCGAGGAATTCAACTCTCACCACCATTGTGCTTCCATCGGTTCCCATCGGTTCGCCATCGGGCTGATAACTCACGGTTAAACGTACATGTTGAGCTTAGTTGGTGGCAAACGGTTGATTACAAAATTCGCGTGTTGTCTAATGCATCCATAATGGTGTACTACACTTATCGTGCTGGTTGGCTCATTTTCTTTCAATTGAATCTGCTGAGCATCAGAGCTGTCCCATCAGGGCGCCTCGCGCGCCAGGCACATCCTCTATTATTAGACAAACCCGGCGCCAAAGTTTTCCATTTGAACACCTATTCCTCACCACAATCCATCGCTTCTCATGTTTGTGTGTTCCTCGCTCATACATCCATGATAAGTCCAGAGTCTATGCAATACGAATATATGATAGCCATGTATCTGTTTAACATGTTCAGACACGGAGATGTTTGTTGATTCTCTCCAGTACAGTCTATGAGATCGGCTCACCTTTGATTTGTGCACACTCGCCCCAGTTTTGTAGCAATCCAAGATGCTTCTCTCTTTATAGCATGACTAAATGCCACTAGAAAGACGTTTTGTCTCGTGGACTTTTGGCACACAAGAAAAGCTCGTTCATGCATGCTTCAACTTTGAAGTTGTATTCCTTCCTGTACCTGGTTCACCGCACTTTCCGTTTTGTGCCGAACCTATCAACGTATTCTGGCCGCTGAGCTACGCTACCTTATAGTTTCGGCCTGAGTTTACAGCTCAGTATAACACAACACAAGCGTGGCACATTTTCTCTAGCACAGCGCCTTCAAGCTCCCTGCTGCGTCCGCCAAGTGTTCGCGCCCGTGTACTCAGGACAGTCACTGGCGGCACCGCCCGCTCGCTGCCAAGGCCCGCGTGATCACTATCGCAGGGCCTGGCTCGGCGCGGCTCTGACCGGCTCATCTCCGGGTTACAGAGAAGCCGCCGTCGGAGGCGACGTTCCGCGGCAATGAGTACATGACGTACGACCTGACGAAGACGGGCGGCGAGGCCATCGCCAGCACCAGTGACAACCTCTCCATGTTCTTCAAGACCCGAGAGCCCAACGGCCTGCTCTTCTACACAGGTGCGGCGGCTTTGGAGCTGAGGGGGGCGTCCTGTTCAGTTTCGGCCTTGCACCTCCGGACCTTGACCTATTTCGACCTTTTCGACCCGTGCGCCTGTCAACGGCACGGGGCTTGTTTTCACTATGGTGGTCATATAGGTTTTGTTGTCAAATGTGTGAATGTTACCAGCATGAGTTTACACTTCTTGGCAATTTAGTCGTATATATATATATATATATATATATATATATATATATATATATATATATATATATACATGTGTGTGTGTGTGTGTGTGTGTGTGTGTGTGTGTGTGTGTGTGTGTGTGTGTGTGTGTGTGTGTGTGTGTGTGTGTGTGTGTGTGTGTGTGTGTGTGTGTGTGTGTGTGTGTGTGTGTGTGTGTCTTCAGCGAGGCGCCACATGTCTGCTGTAGACGTTTCCGTCGCAGTCTGCGGCTGTCTGTATGGGCCACGGGTCCTGAGATGCGTTGGACGCCTCTTGATATCAGTTTGTGATTAAATGCAATGTACTTTTGATATCTGCATAGCTGATATCCCTGCATCGGAACTGGCGCCCGATGTGCCAGATAGCCGATTGCCCGCGCGGAATAATGATATGCCCCGTCGCGCCGTCTACGGAATAGTAAACCCCCGGCTTCCTCACGAGAAGGCGCGGGCACGCGCTGCGCCTGCCGCGTTTTCCCGCGTCGTTTATTATGCAATTGCATTGCGGTCAAGAGTGAGTGCGGACGATCACGCGCCCTGACTTTCACGTCTCACTAACGCGCACAGCGCGTGCACTAATAGCCCACAACGGGTGCTAAAGCCGCCACACAACTGGCCGCGCCCCGCTTGTACAATGGTCTGTTGGCACGCGCCCCTGTCAGGCCCATGAGCCGAACGCCTGTTCGGGCGGTCGGGGGCATCCGGCCCATAATCCTGGCGCCCCGCCCCCGTCCCTCACACGGCTGGAGGGTACCGCCTACCGCGCGCACCTCCAGTTCCGGTGACGACGGAGCACGAATACTGGGAATCGATACATGCTTTGACCTATAGAGATGGTGACGCACGTGGTTTCATTTAGCGATAATCCATTAATTAGCTATGACCTATGCTTGTACAAAAATGAATATTTAACTAAGTGGGATTATGTGTGACGGCGCCATGACAGAACAAACGTAATTTATGGAGTCCGAATGCCTGAAGCTTCGATGCTATGAACGCTTACGTATCATATGATTTCATGAATTTTTAATAACAGAAATCCGGTTTCTTAATTCGGGCCAATATTACCTACATCTAGTTGTTCCGTCTCAAGATCCAATCAACTTGTCTAACCGACCCAAAGCAGCTCGAAAGCCCTGGCGGCGCCGAACAAGAGTAACACAGGTCACTCTCTTAAATTAAGTCAAGATCATCAACTCAACTCATCACTCATTGATTTGGAGATTCAGGACTGCGGCGGTGAATAAATCGCGGAAAATTGTATTTATTTGAGAGTAGCATAGTGTGTTACGCCAAGGGTGAATCGTTTGTATTTCAGGTGGTATGTGGCCGTTCGCGGGTTCAATCAAGGAGGACACTGACGGTAGGCCCTGCTATACCGGTCGGAATTAATTTCTCAGCCCGCGGGTCCCTGAAGCCGTTTTGGGGGGCTATATGGGGTCTAAGGTGATGCAGACGTTCTAGTTTAGATTCATGACATTCCGCAATTAATGCGAGAATAATTACGATGTCGAGGTAAAAGTGTGACACCACACATGGTGCTGGATTTTTTAAACGTTGCATCGATTATTAACTAGTATTTGTTATTGATAAACGATGAAGGAAACAAAAACAATGATAACTAAAACGTCTTGATATTCCCAACCGTACCGAGCTTGACACAGCTGGCGAAAGGATGTCGATTATCCCGCTAGGTGGCTCACCATCGCAGCCTCCCCGCCCACACGCCGCGTCGTTACATCACTGCGCACCCGGCGCGCGCCGCCGGCGGCTACGGGCACCGATAGTCCTCCCCGCGGGTCAGCGGTCCTCCCGTGGGTCACCGCCTCCCCGCGGGCCCGGCCGTGCCCCCGCCCGGGGGACGGGCTGCGGAGATGGTGCGCCGCGGCTGTCAGCGGCGGGGAGGAGCCCGCCCGACGTATTGATTCGGCCGTAATCGGGCAGCCGGGCCGGCGACCCGGCCGCCGGGCCCGCACCCGTGGGGGCCACCGGGGACAGCCGACTAGAGCAGGCGACGACCGACGCGTGAGGGTGAAGGAGTGTGAAGAGAGGGGTCATTTGCGCCTGACGGCAGTGGAACCTTTCTTCAGAGAGGCAAGCGAGCTCGGGCAGGAGCGGGCAGAAAAACGAATGCTGGAACAAACACTCGGATGTTACAGCACGTGCAATGGACGCTGATGAGCCGCGTCGACTCGATAGGCTGTACAGCTAGTGAGCCGACGGGAGGCTGCTTCTCAGGTGGTCCGGCAGGCCTGCAGCGGACCACCGGACCACGGGACCACGGGAGCGGCAGCAGCCGGCGCGCTCGCTCGTCCTCGCGCCGTCCCCTGACCCATACATACATCACCCGCGCCTGACACCCGCACGCACACAATCCTGCAGCGCGGCGGACTCTGGCGGGTGCCGCGGGGCTGGACGGACGGCGGTGGGCTCTGTCAGACCGCCTGTATGGGCGCTCTGATCGATATGGGAATGTCGTGTGCGGGCCCCTCAGGCCACCGGGCTACTCTGCGCTCGGAAAGCGGCGGATCCTGCGGCCGCTGCGGGCCGAGCTGGGCTTCAATGCCCCGCGGCATTTTCCTGGGAGGTGGTGGGCATTACCAGCGGATGCCATCGATGAAGCTGTGATGAATGCCCCCAGGATAGGCATCCTCGGCGTGTGTGAGTAGTTGCTGTGCGGGCAAAGAGATGAATAGGTGTACTGCTGGCAAGGAATATACCTAACCTAATCAGCAGTAAAAGAAGCAAGTTAATAACGTAGATAAAGGAAAGCGAAATCATTCCACGCAAATTATTAGAGGAGATAATCATCATGAGACAAGATGCAGCACGCGATAATCATCGGAAGGCTGTTCCATGAGTATAGTAACATCTTAGTCGGCGAGGTGGGGGTGTTGCCGAAAAAATCAAATGATTCGTTTTATGCATCGCCACAGGGTTATTGATAGACTTTCTCAGAGTGTGGGCGCCATAACACTCTTGGAGCGAAACACATTTACGGTCCCCATGAAACAGCCTGGAAAAAATTTCCAAACAAGCGGTTTGGAGAAAATCGTAGTGTGCGTACGTGTAGGTTGGGCATGGGGCGCACTTCCGAGACGGATTTTACCTGAAGTAAAGCAAGTGAGTGAAGTTGTCATGTGATTGTAGAGATTGTGTGTGTTCAGTTCAGTTTTAAAGCGCGTGCAGCACATCCAGTCGGGACAGGGGCTGATTCCTTGCACAGGCCATGTCCCATGGGCCGCTTGAAAAATGCTCCAAAGAATGCGTGAAGCGCATTTTTCAGTACGCCTGACCAAGTCGTGTCGGTTAGCAGATCAGCTCATGGCTGCAGTTGAGATCGTCGCCGATTTCTGAAGGTTGTAAACGAAACCCAAACCAAATCAGGCGGCCGCCAATGCGGCGAAAAACGTCCGCTGAAGGTTGAATCACGCAAAAATATCCAAAATACTAAAAATCTCTAAATCCAAGAAGAAATTCTGGAGGACGGCATCACAAGTTAGCCTACCAGCGACACAACTGTACTGCATGCTCATCTGTTTGGACTTGCATAAACGGTACCGTTTGCTGCGGTAGCCTTGTTGCTTGGGTTACAAAGTTTGCCCAGCATGCCAAAATAAGATATGATTGTGTTTAATTCACGTTGAGCGAATCCCCTTGCATGATCAACTCGACCTGCCGACATCTGACTCGTTCCCTGATCCCGCCCAGCGAATCAGCCGCGCGCTACAAAACACTTCCAGAGGGAGACATCCCTGGTAGAGCGCTCAATCAACGGCTTGTTTAATGATCTGTAACAACTTTTTAGAACAGGGTATATGCGTTTTGAACATGGAGTGAAATGTTTGTTGTCATACTACGAGCAGGTGTTCTCCTGCCACGAATCGGAGCAGTCGCTTAGCGTGAACACCACGTGCTATCAGCCCGTCGCCACGCCATGACAATCTGATGGTCGACACCCGTGCTGTTCTCAGGAGACGGAGACGACTACATGACGCTGGGCCTGAAGGACGGCTGGATCAGCCTGGCAGTCAGTCTGGGCAGCGGAGCTCTGCGCTCCCAGGTAGGTGAAGCGCCCTGGAGCTGACCCAGTCGGTGTAGGTGAAACGCCCTCGAGCTGACCCAGTCGGCGTAGGTGAAGCACTCTGAAGCTGACCCAGCCGGCGTAGGTGAAGCGTCCTGAAGCTGACCCAGCCGGCGTAGGTGAGGCACCTTCGAGCTGACCTAGCCGGCGTAGGTGAGGCACCCTCGAGCAGACCCAGCCGGCGTAGGTGAGGCACGATCGAGCTGACCCAGCCGGCGTAGGTGAGGCACCTCGAGCTGACCCAGCGGCGTAGGTGTGGCACCCTCGAGCTGACCCAGCCGGCGTAGGTGAGGCACCTTCGAGCTGACCCAGCGGCGTAGGTGAGGCACCCTCGAGCTGACCCAGCCGGCGTAGGTGAGGCACCCTCGAGCTGACCCAGCCGGCGTAGGTGAGGCACCCTCGAGCTGACCCAGCCGGCGTAGGTGAGGCACCCTCGAGCTGACCCAGCCGGCGTAGGTGAGGCACCCTCGAGCTGACCCAGTCGGCGTAGGTGAGGCACCTTCGAGCTGACCCAGCCGGCGTAGGTGAGGCACCTTCGAGCTGACCCAGCCGGCGTAGGTGAGGCACGATCGAGCTGACCCAGCCGGCGTAGGTGCGGCACCTTCGAGCTGACCCAGTCGGCGTAGGTGCGGCACCCTTGAGCTGACCCAGCCGGCGTAGGTGAGGCACCCTGGAGCTGACCCAGCCGGCGTAGGTGCGGCACCCTGGAGCTGACCCTCGGCGTAGGTGAGGCGCTCTCGAGCAGACCCAGTCGGCGTCGGTGAGGCACCCTGAGCTGACCCAGCCGGCGTAGGTGAGGCGCTCTCGAGCTGACCCCCGCGTAGGTGAGGCACCCTGGAGCTGACCCAGTCGGCGTAGGTGAGGCACCCTCGAGCTGACCCAGCGCGTAGGTGAGGCACCTTCGAGCTGACCCAGCCGGCGTAGGTGAGGTGCCCTCGAGCTGACCCAGTCGGCGTAGGTGAGGCACCCTCGAGCTGACCCACGCGTCGTGAGGCACCTTCGAGCTGACCCAGTCGGCGTAGGTGCGGCACCCTCGAGCTGACCCAGCCGGCCGTAGGTGAGGCACCCTCGGCTGACCCAGCCGGCGTCGGTGAGGCACCCTCGAGCTGACCCAGTCGGCGTCGGTGAAGCGTCCTGAAGCTGACCCAGCCGGCGTGGGTGAGGCACCCTCGAGCTGACCCAGCGGCGTGGGTGAGCACCCTCGAGCTGACCCAGCCGGCGTGGGTGAGGCACCCTCTAGCTGACCCAGCCGCGTAGGTGAGGCACCCTCGAGCTGACCAGCCGGCGTAGGTGAGGCACCCTCGAGCTGACCCGCCGGCGTAGGTGAGGTCACCTTCGAGCTGACCCGCCGGCGTAGGTGAGTGCCCTCGAGCTGACCCAGCCGGCGTAGGTAGGCACCCTCGAGCTGACCCAGCCGGCGTAGGTGCACCCCTCGAGCTGACCCAGCCGCGTAGTGAGGTGCCCTCGAGCTGACCCAGCGGCGTAGGTGAGGCACCCTCGAGCTGACCCAGCCGGCGTAGGTGAGGCACCCTCGAGCTGACCCAGCCGGCGTAGGTGAGGCACCCTCGAGCTGACCAGCGGCGTAGTGAGTGCCCTCGAGCTGACCCAAGTCGGCGTAGGTGAGGCACCCTCGAGCTGACCCAGCCGGCGTAGGTAGGTGCCCTCGAGCTGACCCAGCCGGCGTAGGTGAGGCCACCCTCGAGCTGACCCACGTCGGTAGTGCGGCACCTTCGAGCTGACCCAGCCGGCGTAGGTGCGGCACCCTGGAGCTGACCCAGCCGGCGTAGGTGAGGCACCCTCGAGCTGACCCAGCCGGCGTAGGTGAGGCACCCTCGAGCTGACCCAGCCGGCGTAGGTGAGGCACCCTCGAGCTGACCCAGCCGGCGTAGGTGAGGCACCTGAGGCACCTCGAGCTGACCCAGTCGCGTAGGTGAGGCACCCCGAGCTGACCCAGCCGGCGTCGGTGAGGCACCCTCGAGCTGACCCCAGCGGCGTAGGTGAGGCGCCCTCGAGCTGACCCAGCCGGCGTAGGTGAGGCACCCTCGAGCTGACCCAGCCGGCGTAGGTGAGGCACCCTCGAGCTGACCCAGCCGGCGTAGGTGAGGCACCCTCGAGCTGACCCAGCCGGCGCCCTCGCCTGACCGGTGACGCTCTTCAGCGCGAGCTGCATTTGTGAGATGTGGCGAAGGCTTGGTGTGTGAGGCCTGCTGTCTGGATTTGCGTTGGGTCATGCAAGCGTTGCCCCGCCAGCATGTGTGTGGGAGTGTGAGATAACGTGTTGCTGCTGGGACACTGCTCACACGCTGTTCCAACGCGACTCGTGGTGGTCTGCTGAGCCAGAGACTATCGAGCTCTGCTGAGCCAGAGACTACCGAACTCTGCTGAGCCAGAGACCACCGAACTCTGCTGAGCCAGAGACTACCGAGCTCTGCTGAGCCAGAGACCACCGAACTCTGCTGGGCCAGAGACTACCGAGCTCTGCTGAGCCAGAGACCACCGAGCTCTGCTGAGCCAGAGACCACCGAGCTCTGCTGAGCCAGACCACCGACTCTGCTGAGCCAGAGACTACCGAGCTCTGCTGAGCCAGAGACCACCGAGCTCTGCTGAGCCAGATACCACCGAGCTCTGCTGAGTCAGAGACCACCGAGCTCTGCTGAGCCAGAAACCACCGAGCTCTGCTGAGCCAGAGACTACCGAGCTCTGCTGAGCCAGAGACCACCGAACTCTGCTGAGCCAGAGACTACCGAGCTCTGCTGAGCCAGAGACCACCGAGCTCTGCTGAGCCAGAGACCACCGAACTCCGCTGAGCCAGAGACTACCGAGCTCTGCTGAGCCAGAGACTACCGAGCTCTGCTGAGCCAGAGACTACCGAGCTCTGCTGAATCAGAGACCACCGAGCTCTGCTTCGGTGTGACCGGTGGCAAAGACATATCCCTGCAGCTGCTGAAGGCGGAGCGTTGATGCAGCAGCATTGGCTCGTGGCGGTGGAGCTGCGAGAGACTGGTGCGAGCTCTGTGTAGCGGGTCATGCGGGAGGCCCGGTCCTGCTGGTGTCTCTCTGAACGCCCCGCCGTTCAGTATGGAGCACCGTCCGGGTCTCCTGCACAGCTAAAGTTTGTCGCGTGATGAACGGGCGGACAAGATCAGTGGTAGTCATCAGTTGCGTGCACCGCTAAGACAGGACCCAAGAGCCCTTCCCGGCGGTCGCCGCTGCTGATAAGGCCGTCTCCCATGGATAGCACGAACGCGGCTGGATCAGACCAGAAATAGAAGCAAATCGTGCCGCACGTCCCAGGAGCCTTCCTCCTCGGCCAAATCGATGGTCGTCTTGCCCGGCCGCTCCACAGGGCCGGCCGCGTCAGGCGGCGCGCGGCCCGTCGCGGCCCGTGCCGCGCCGGCGCTGGAGGACCGGTTCCCGATCCGGCCGGCGCGGTGACGCGCGCGCCACGCGTCTGCCGACGGACGGGGCTGATCCGCCGCGCCGAGCCCGGCTGTGACGGCCACTGGCAGCTCATCCCCGTTGACAGTCAGTGGCGAGATGCGTAGAGCGGCTCTCAAGGCCGGCTCGGCCGTCCGTCGCTGTCGGCTCCTCGCCGCTGGTGCTGCCGGCCTGCCAGAGTCAACACGCACGGGCGCGTCGCATGCTTTATGAGTGGTGGCAGGGCAGCACCCGCGCCCCTGGCGGCGCGCGTGATGTTGCGCTGAGCTTCGACAGCGCCTCTGCTGTGAAGATCCGCTTGGGCTGGTCTCGCCGACTGAAGTACGCGGCGTAGCTGCCTGCTTGAGTGGCCGTCTTTCAGATGCAATTTGCGTAGCAAAGGCGACATACCAGGTGTCACCGTTCGGAGATGTTGAGCTCGTGCACAGAAAGGTTGACCAAGGTCAATATCAAAGGGAGCGCAGGAAACTCCGAAAAACAGAATGAGTTACGTGCTGTATATCTTGATAGCGAGATTCTAGCGGCTGCCTGTATGTTTCAGGATGTCGAAACGTCACCATTCACTATGTCTGCTTGGACTGGAATCTTCCAGAAGGCTTAACATTCCGGATTTTTATGACATTGTGATCTGTCACCACTCTGATTAGGACCGCAAACATTTCAAGGAGCTTAAACGGCTTTCGACCTGATCTCGGTTCCGGGCACAGTGACATGGCATGTCTTACATCCAACGCGGGAAAAAATCCCCAGAGCCTCCGTCTTTCCTCCCCATTTTTTAGAATCCAACTTTATATGGAAAATGAATGTGGCACGTGGTGTCGGTGTCTTGCGCTAGGAAGAAATGGGACCCAGATCGAGTCCTTGGAAGCACGCTATTTCTGGCAAGGATGATTCGTTGGTCAATTAACGAGGAAGACACGTTTGTGGTTAACATGGGAAAAACTTTCTGCAAATACGCTGTATTTGGTACAAATTGACATGCTTATAACCGCCGATGCCAGGAATCCGACCAACGTAGTGAGTTGGTGCAGCAGCGTTTAACCTTGTCCAGTTACAAGTCAGAAAGTGGGCAGCTTTGGGGCTACCGATAGGGCACTATCCACTACCCATCCATACAGGAGTGATGGATGACTGGGCTTGGCATCCAGGACTGGGTACCAGAGGCTTGCCCATCGTACTCAATTAAAATGCATTGAAGTGGTGCGAATTGCTTCAGTCCACCGTCGACCTTTTAGCTTGATGTTTCCATGAAGCGTTGCTGGCCGGAAGATTGTTTAGCCATCCATAAGAAAACATATATGTTTTCTGACGGTTTCTTTAGGCCGAGCTGCCTCCCGTCAGGGAAGGGATCATTCCTCACTCCTTTGTCCATCACTTCACAGCCAAACAGGACCTGCCGGGCGCATTTCTGGACGACATGCGACGGGGCCGATGTCACCGCTCGATCGCATGCGGTCCGACTTGTTTTCGATTTGGACGGTTCGATTAGGCCAGACGTGGCGAGAAGTTGGCGGCCCGTTGCGTGTCACGGTGCGCCACGACCGCTGCCGAGCTTTTCTGATGCACCGTGTACACCGCCAAACCCCTTCAGATGCGCCAGTCCACCGCCCAAGCTCTCAGATGCGCCGCGTCCGCCGCCCAATCCCTCATGCGCCGCGTCTGCCGCCCAATCCCTCTAATGCGCCACGTCCGCCGCTTTCTCTTTCTGATGCGCCAGTCCGCCGCCCAATCTCTCCGATGCGCCACGTCCGCCGCCCAATCCCTCTGATGCGCCGCGTCTGCCGCCCAATCCCTCTGATGCGCCATGTCGGCCGCATTCTCTTTCTGATGCGCCAGTCCGCCGCCCAATCCCTCTGGTGCGCCACGTTCGCCGACGAGTCCCTCTGACCCGCTTCGTCTGCCGCAGGTTCGTCCGGGACGTGTCCGCTTCCACGACGACCAGTGGCACAAAGTGACCGTCAACAGGAGGGTCAAGGAGGTGAGGGATCTCGTGCCATGCTGGGAGCTTTGGTGGTGGAGAAAACGGTCGGATGCTTTATGCTGACTGGTCTGATGCCGGTAGCCGATGAAAGCTTTCTTGATGGCTTTTGAGTTCATCCCATCTGTTCAGTCCATTTGTTCAGTTCGACCCGTCTGCTCAGTCGGTCGTTCAGCACGCCTGTTCAGTCCGACTGTTCAGTCCATCTGCGAGACCCTTCCGTTCAGTTTATCCGTTCATTCCCTCTGTTCAGTCCGTCCGACTTAGCCTTCCATCCAGTCCTTCCGTCCAGTCCTCCCGTCCAGCCTTCCGTCTAGTTCGTCCAGTTCGTTCGTTCAGTTCATCCGTTCAGTCTGTCCGCGTATTACGCCGTAGTTGCGCCACGAGTGTCGCAGCTGCGCCGCGAGTGTCGTGGCGCTGCCGCCCCGCTGCGGACAGGCTAAACGCTCGCGTTTGGCTCTGACGGCCAAGCCCCTCATATATAATGCCTTGTCAAATAAACGAGCCCGCGCTGCTCATACCTCGTCACTAAATCACCGGCTAAAATATCGGCTCCATTCACTGGCCGTCACCACCTCGGAGCAGAGCGATCGCTTGCGGTGATGGCGGCCGCCGGCAAGAACGTGGGCTAGCTGTCATGCCGCCCGAGAATGGTCCGCCGCTGGTCAGGGGGGGGAGGGGAGGGGGTGCTGGGTTCGTTCGAGATAACGCTCTAGCTGTTAGCGGTTTGGTGACAGTAAGTGTGGGATGAAATTTGCATGCGTGGTGACGTGGACCCATCCTGGTCGCCGTTCGAGTCGTCAACGCTTTGCAGACCTTTCGTGGCAAACGTGACCCCGGTATGGTCATGTTTATGTCAGCTTCACCTGAGGGGCAGGACGGTTTGTGTGAATACTCCCATTTAACCATCACACTGCTGGGAGTTTTGGTTTAGTGCGTGTCTCGGCTGTGGGGCGTGCTACGCTTTGCTGTACATCGTGCACTTGCGTGTGGGCTGTCGTCTTGTGCCAAAGCCACGCAGCTTGGATTCGTCCAAACGGCATACACCTATCAGTGACGGTTGAATTTTGTAACCGGTAAGAATGTTTAGTAAATATGTTCCAGTCGCCAGTGTCTCACAAAACTGCATGCTTTCGGCGGCAGTTCCCTATTAACTCATCTGGTGATCCACCTTGAGTGGAGTGTCACTTTGTGACGAGGCTTAACTGTACATGCAGACATCCAGGTTAGGCATGCCCTCCCCGGGCCAGAAATGTTTCCTCAATACTGCCTTTAAGTATCTGGGCAAGTTAAGTAAAATTAAAATAAAGCAAAGTAAAGTTAAGTTAAATTATCGATGTTATCTGCAGAGCGATGTGTGTTGAAGGAATGCTTTCATCTAACTTCGTCCTCATCACTATAAAAAACGTTATTAACAAACTAGATTTCCTTTACCTTTAACCTTAATATAACTGAAAAAGCATTGAACTTCTTTTTTGTCCACTTCTGTTTTCGGGGTTTCTATGTGGCAGCAATCGGCCCTCATCACACCAGCAGGAATTGGTTAAACGACGTTTTCAAGCAAGCACTGGTTCCCTTGTCAAAACTCGCTGAATCACTCGTTTCAGGGGGCGTGTCAAGTCGTGCTCATGGACACGAGTGACCTTCGACCCGTGGCCGTGACCACAGTTGAAAACGTCGAGTTTTGACAAGATGACCAGTTTCTTTGGATATCGTCGGTCAACCAGGGCCTCCTGCGTATACTGAAAGTCGATCATTGTCAGCATACGAAGTACGCACCAACATTGGTTGTATTCCCCGTGGCCAATTTTTTGCGATAGACGATGTGGTCAAATTGCATTAACATTTAATCATCCTGCTATATGTAAACGTGAGCCTCAGTATTGTGATATTAATATGCTAATTTGTGAATTGCTCGCCAGCACAGGCTCAACATTTTCCACCAGCAAGCCAATTGAAACTGGCGGCCATAGTTATAATGAGGTAGCGCTGTTTGAAGCTTTGACAAACTTTGACGTTTAACTAGGTCGGAACAATTTACCTATGTTTGCGTCAGATGGAAACAGATGTACTTACCAGCGTCATTCACAGTGATTATTAGTCCTACGCGTTCATTGAGGAAGGTTTGTTGTGCTGTCCGAGAGCGGCACTCTTCTTTTAAAGCACTGGCAATACTTATTTGTCTGTTGACAGGACTCCGCCAAGATATGCAGCCTTGTTTGTGCAACCCCTATGATCATTAAGTGGCACATATGTGTCTGAAGGCAGCACCTACGGCTGGAATATGAGTGGTGTCGTCTGATAAAGTTAAATGCAGCATTAACGCACAGTCCCCGTGCGCTTGCGATTTAAGTTCTCACCGCATTTCACACTGAAATATGTCCCACAGATGTGTGCGTTTCTTTCATTTGGACTCGCTGCATGGACTTTGAATTGGTGTGGGCATTGGATGAACATTGTCGCCTCTGCCCACTGCGCCAGTTTGCTTCGCATTTTTCTGCGCGACCGCCAATTGGCACCCTTGCGCGTGCTTGTGTGCGCGTCGGTGCTTCGCAGCTGGTTGACATGTTGGCTTCTCCCGTGCCGCGGCAGCTGGTTGACTCTGGGCACAGCGTTTGCTATGTGAGTACGGCCCAACAGCCAGCCCCACCGCTTGAGCATGTGCTGTTCTGGCTGGGCGGTGCGGGGGCGGGGGGTGCGTCAGGCGACGCCCCGTTGAGGTCGCTATTGTCTTGTTTGTCATCAGCGTGTTCGTACGAGGACAGTGACATGAATGGGCGCTGCCCAGGGGTTAGTTTAGATTGGCCCCCGGCTGGTTGATGTGTTGATGTGGTGCGGTCCGCTGGCGTCGCCTCGTCAGGAATAGCACATGACTTGTGATTGGGTGTCGTTGGAGGGTGCGCCGCGGTTGTTCACCGATCTCCTAACGGGAAAAGGCATTTTCATCCAGGAAATCAAGTAGGGAACTCCACGGGATGAGTAAACCCATGGGTACTCATGCAAAGTGAGTAAGGGGCTGGATTGTGTGCAGATTTTGGCAAACTTTCGTGTATGGCTATCGGTATGAGTATGGATGCGACGTTTACAAAATGTCGGATAAATATTTCAGCAGATATTACACCAGGTCTTTTCCTGTGCCACTCTTAGTCCAAATTAGCTCCATTTGCATTACTTAAAGAGCACTCAGCCCAAAGAACAAGTTTGGGTGAAAACTTCGCAAAACCCTTCCAATAATTCAGAACTCGAGTTCTGGAAAAATGCAAACGCGTGGGTAACGGATGGGAAAAGCTTGTTAGGAATTGGTAGCGGATGGATAGGGGCATAGCCTTGTGGGTGGCGAATGGATTATGTAAAGGAAATCATACCTGTGAAGATCTCTTTCATCCATGGTGTTGAGGGCTTTCTTGTCCGGTGCCATCTTCAACTTGCAATGCTTGCAAACCTCAATGCCCGAAGATACGATACTCTTGTCTTCTCTAGAAGGAAATGTGAGGTATGCTTGAGCGTAACTAAAGCAATAAATTGGTTATTGCCTGATGACCACATAAATTGAAAGGCCTGAAAGGTACACGCATACACCCACGTATCTGGTCCCGGTACGTCCTCAGCAGGGTCTCTCTGTCCCACCAGTTCCCCGTGGCCGCACCCATTTTCGGAGGGCTCGCTGCCAAGCCCGAGTCTCGCGGGAATGGCTCTTCGCTGTCCCGTTGTTGGCGCGCCCTCAGGCCTCCCCCGCCGCGTACGTCCGCCCGCAGCGTGACGCCACGACGGGAGACAGCACCAGCGAAGGGACTGGTGGAATGGGATTGCAAGCCGAAGAGAATAGGCAAAAAGCAACGTGCATGAAAATTATTCCCAAGCGTACTCGCAGGTCTCAAGGGTTTTGGAGCTTATCGGCTTCAAATGATGATATCATCTTACTTTCGTTAATTAATATATAATCGTCACATTCATAAGGAAAAACGATTTCTTTACAGAGAAAATATGATCAGCTGTAGGTCCCCTGCATGTTGAAGCCCCATTATCCTCGGTGTTCTTGACCTATTGCAGCACTTGCCATTGACATTTCATACACACGGCAATATGTGTTCATTCAACACGGATTATAAGCAGCGTCGTCTGCCGACCGATAGCGTGAGCCTCGGATGTCCTTACTCGGACTCCGGCGCCATGTTTGTTTGGTCCTTGCAGGTGATTCACAAGCCGCGCCACATCTGTTCTATTGCACACGCTAATGACGTCCGAGCGGTCGCTGTGACCGATTCTTCTAAAGACGACTATTGCTACGATTGACTCCACCACACACGACATTCGCAACGACAGGCTCCACCACAGACGACAGTCGCTACGACAGACTCCACCACAGACGACAGTCGCTACGACAGACTTCACCACAGACGACAGTCGCTACGATTGACTCCACCACAGACGACAGTCGCTACGACAGACTCCACCACAGGCGACAGTCGCTACGACAGACTCCACCACAGACGACAGTCGCTACGACAGACTCCATCACAGACGACAGTCGCTACGACAGACTCCACCACAGGCGACAGTCGCTACGATTGACTCCACCACAGACGACAGTCGCTACGACAGACTCCACCACAGACGACATTCGCAGCGACAGACTCCACCACAGACGACAGTCGCTACGACAGACTCCACCACAGGCGACAGTCGCTACGATTGACTCCACCACAGACGACAGTCGCTACGACAGACTCCACCACAGACGACATTCGCAGCGACAGACTCCACCACAGACGACAGTCGCTACGACAGGCTCCACCACACACGACAGTCGTCGTGACCGACTCCACCACAGGCGAGTGCCCTCCGCCCGACCGCGTGACGCACGTCCGTCCGCATCCGCCGCCGGTCCCTCGGCAGACAGCGCGGTCTGCAGCCGGAGCGGGCGACCGCCGCCGCCACCGGCGTCGCCGCCGCGACCGATCACCGGCTAACGAGGCCGCGGCGACCCCGCTGACACGGCCCTGAGGGATGGCGGCGCTCGGGGCGGGCCGACGGCGCCCGATGACGCCGCGACACGGCTAAACGCGCCCGTGTCGACGCCAGCCGGCCGGCGACGAGCGATGGTCCAGTCAAGTGGCCGCGGAAGGACCGACGGCCGGCGGCCGACAGTGAGCGCTCGTCTGAGAGCGGCCCACTGGCAGGACCTGATGACCCGTGTGAGGGCGGCGTCCCCCGGCCCTGCCACGCGGTCGGACGTGGGGCACTGCAGCTAATTAGAGCGAAGCGCCTTGCATTTTGCTGTATTTTATTAGCTACATTTTATTTGACGACGTAGTTTGACTACATTGCACTTTAATTTCTTCACTGTTATATAGGCACCTTGCATTTTAATGACTTTCTTTTGTAACGTTGTCGAAGGTTTAATTGTATATTAACGTTGTTGAAGGATTGGAGCGAAATGGTGTTGAATTAATGGTGGTTAATATGAAGCCACACGACTTCACAGCGAAGGCGACCGTGCGTCACAGGAACCCTTAGCGAATGGTGTAACAATCTCGATATGGCCCGATGCCTTTCCAATGGCAAAAATGCCAATGCCTCATGCAAATGGAACCTTTCAGTTGGGCTTGGTCGTAGTAGTAAAAGTACCGGCTAAATCTCTCTAATCTCTTAATGTTGACCAGCCAGAACACCAGATGAGCCAAAACGCAATGCCGTGCCGGCTAGTAGTGACGGCGGAGCCGACTACGGCCAAAGCCAAACACGTAATATTCTAGCAGCGGCACGGCAAGACACGAAAGCGTGATTTGTGTCTTGAACTGTCTGCCACAGCTAGTTAGTTCCCTTGGAAACCACTTTTGTTATCTTCTTGACCATCGTCGTGGCCGAGAGCCTGGACCGAGCGCTTGTTTACCGCTGGCATCAGGCTCTGAGTCAAAGAGAGAGCGATTTGTTTGGCCGGACCATATACACAATGGTCAGGCCAAAGGGGGGGGGGTCAAACCGACTTAAGAGGGCCGCGCCACAGCATTGTTTGGCACGAAACAGATCCCTCAGTGGATCAGTTTGGCAAAAACAAGGGCGGAGGCGAATTTAGTCGTTGGATTGGGATAGATAACACTATCTGAATAGAGAGATCGGGGCATACAAGCAGGCAGCTCTGCTCGTCATGCACTCCGAGCTCAACTCTACGAATGCAAGAGCATTGAATGCTCAGCACTCTGAATAACTACCCAAGAAGTAAATGTTTCGTAAGCAGCACACAACGTGCATGATGTTCCAAACCTTTCAGAAATATTCATCAGCCTGACTGACTCATGCCACTGGTCTTTTTGGATGAGGTCGCCGCGAAATTGAGCACGAAATCGGCCCCACTTAAATTAAGCGGATGACTTAATATCGCGTAACCGAACAGAACTGAGACCGCCAGGTGCATTAGCTCCCAGATGCGATTTATGGGCATTGCTTCCACCTCAGAGAAGGTCAGTCATACATCAAATATATCGCCCGCTCAAGTCTGATCAGGGTCGATATGACCAATGTGCGGCGTTGGCCGGGATATCCAATAGAAAGATAGAGCACGTGGCGTGGCGTGGGGAACACGGCCCACTGCGCTCCCCTCCCTCGGGTGCATTCCTGTTTCTATGATGATGTCTGGCCACGCACTCACTGACCCTGTCTGGATGTTGGCATCAATACCCGCTCGGCAAAGCCATGCCCCATGGTGCTGTGAGCACGACATCCCCACCAGCTTTGCTTCCGTATGCATGGCCATTTAACTCATTAAAATTGATGAGGTCGAAAATTTCAGTGTCGGTTCTGGATGGCACGCATTAGGGCCCGAAATGAAACCCTCTGGCTGCAGTGCCAAATGGCGGCGTTTCTCGGCCATAATTCTGTCTTCGCCCGCTCGAGCCAATTCGAATCAGTCACTGGCGCCCGAGTGGCTGCCGCTTCAAAGGCGCGCCGACCGTGACAAAGCCGCCGCGAGATAGGCGTCGCGGGGTGTCGGCGGCGCCGGGCGCCGGGTTGGCGGAGCACGGCGCGGCGCTGGGAGCCGTTGCGTGCGAGGTGTGAATGGGAGCAGGAGCTTCATCCCGCGTCGGTAGTCGCGCCTTGTTCCGCTCTCGAGTGTGCCGCGTTCGTGTCGGCGATGGCGGGGAGGGCTTGCAGTATGGAGTCTGGTGATGATGTCGGATGTGGGACATCTGCCAGGGAATGGTAAAACGTGCTGATTTTTGCATTGAGCCGCCGGTATTGTCGCGGTGTCTCATCTTTGTTTTATTGCGCCTCGTTCGTCCCGTAATGATGTTGACTCCATTCCAACTCGTAGGACACACCCAACCCAGACGGTTTACCCCCCGCCCTGGATCGTTCTCTCCGTGAATGTTTCGTAAGAGATCCGGCCAAAACCCGTTGACCGTCCGTGACGCTCGTCTCTGCGACTGACACCCGACACTCGAAGCGCCCCAGGACCGGCGCGGTGTTCGCCGCCGCTCAGGCCGCCCCCGTCCCGGGCGCGGGGTCGGCGGCAGCTGACCCGCGTCTCCCCCAGGTGTCCATCAACGTGGACGGCGTGTACACGGAGCGGGGCACCACGTCCGGGCCCTTCACGCTGCTTACCTCGTCCCGGCTGTTCGTGGCCGGCAGCGACGACACCTCACAGCTACCCGGCAGTCAGACCAGCCACAACTTCGTCGGCTGCCTCAGGAAGGTGGGTCGTCGCCTCGCAGGTCGGCCACGTCCCCGCAGCTCGAAGGCGATCTGACCGGGCGCGAACTGTCCACATCGCTCTTCGGACCAATTCTCCCTCTATGGCTCAGGGCAGCCGTGCGTAACTTCGTCGGCGAGAGCTAAGCAAGTTGGGATGACGTCATGTTCGTTCCGCCCGTCCCCGTTGGGAAGTTAAACCCACCTCTTGGAGTGATTTGCCAGTAGCTCGTGCGTCACGTTCACACTCTCAATTACTGCCGGGCACCAACTTGACCTTTTTCTACGGAGGGTGAGGTATGGTGTTCCATAGGGCGTGGGTGTCAGGGCGTCAGCGGTCACACATATAGATGGATGGCAAAACTAATTGTCAGACCGGATGGTCTCCGCAGGGTGTGTCGTGCGCTCTTTGTGGAAGGACCATTTTCTTTACCGCAAAATAATCTGCTGACCATTATGTCCTTGCGTGGTGGCGTAATGCACCCACAGTCACGAACACGCGGACACACGGACCATTAGCTAATGAAATGAGCGGTGGCGAAAGGTAAAGATGCCCTTTCCATGAACCATCCGCGCGCGGGAAAAACACGCTGAATGTATATCCAAGCTTTAGAAACACAAGCTGCATTTCCAAAAAGATAACGAAAGAGTTTTCCGTTATTGGTCCGTCTTGCCGCTCGGACACAGTGCTGATGGCTGACTGGCAGGCACTGGGTTGAAAGTGCAATTATACCCTGCCAATCTTCCTAACGCTTTGCCTTTATGAGCCTGAAGATGCCGTAATCAAGTTTGCAAACTTATGTCAAAAGTTTGGCTGATGTGTTTCGTTGTTATTTTAACATACATTTATAATGTGCTCCGAGTTGGCCAATAGTGCAGTGATCAGGAGTCAACAAAAATATGTGTGCATTGCCCACGACACACATTCTTTCTTCACTTTCTCGTAACTGCTTATTCGACTCTACGTCTTTTTCTTTGTTCCTGAAAAGGTGTGCAGACATTTTGACGTGCGTTATGTGCAGACATTCCATGAATATACAGATGACGGCGTTTATTTCCAGAGTACTTCAACCTATCTTGCCGCATGTGCTGCTCTCATTCCACACACCTCCGACTGTCGCTCTTTCTGGTCCTCTTGAAAGGCGCTCACGTTCTCTCTGACCAACTGAGAGGAGTGCCAATGCCCCTTCTGATCCGCTGGGATTGGCCATGGCGTCCGTCCTGACCCGCTCGAGGAGGCCTGCTGCTTCCTCTGGCCCGCCAGGCGGTACCTCGGCCGTTCTGACCCGCTGGAATGCCGCCCATGTATATCCCGCCCCGCTAGAAGAGCCGCTGACACTCTGGCCCTCTCGAGAGGCTCTGAAGCTGTCCTGCGGCCTGGCAGGTGGAGTACACGGCTGACTCGCTGCACCTGGACCTGATCGAGCTGAGCCGGACCGGTAACAAGCTGATGGCCGTGCGGGGCAGGGTGCAGTACATGTGCCAGACGATCGAGGCCGCCGACCCCGTCTCCTTCGCCTCACGTGGCTCCTACCTGGTGAGTGGGGAGGCAGAGGTGGGCACGGTGCGGCAGAGCCACCCGAGCCTCATCGGTTGGAGCTCAGCGAGATCTGTCTTGCTAGAGGATGGGAGTGAGTACTAATCCTGGTCTTTTTAGCGGCTCCAGGACTTTTGTCGAGGATCGGTGTGGTTGTGGTTTTACTAGAGCGTGCCGTTGCATTTCCTGTGGAGTACCATTCGCCTGTTGGGACTGAGGTGTGACTACGACTAATTGTCGCACAGCAAGGACGTCCCTCACAGACGTTAAGTGTGAACTAACGGTGCCAGCCGGGCCACGAGCGATGTATGACAAGCCAACGAATGAACCACCAGTGAACGAAATAGTCGTCACCATCAATTCCTTGAACAATCCGCTGCAAGCGATCCATCCTGTGTGCACCTATCACGGTGTTGTGTTTGGAAGGTCCTGACTGTTATCGCTAACGGTTGCGATTTGTTCTGTGGTTACGGCAATTTTAGTGCAATGTATGCCAGTGATTTTCCTTGAGGACAGCAAACTTTCCCGTGTCTCCCTGAATTCCTCTAAATATGTGACTTAGCTTGGTGTCAAGCTGGGATACAGGAGGCACATGGTGGCTATAATGACGTCACGTTGTAAAATATCGCCCGCGTGGGAACTTTGACGCTTGATATATGTGACTCCTATGCCATTCATGCTTTAGGGGACTCCCGGGCTAGATTACACAGAACTTATTTCCGAGAATGGGCATGGCCTCACCCGGACAAGACAAGCCGGAAAATATTCGGTGGGAGCGTGTCAACTTGGTTTAGAGGGTGCTGCGGGGATGTGTTCCAGAGAAAGGCGACGGATCGCCGACGGCCCAGTTGTACCGGTACGCGAAACAACAGAATGACATGACGCGTACAGTGACGCATTTTAAACATCTACCGTGTGGCCTATAGCTCTGTCTCTCCGCTAATCTTCAATATGAGTGCCGTTGCCAAGCTGGGATTGGCCTACCTCCATTGTTGCATCCAGTTGCTGTTGTGATATATTTATGTTCATCGGTTTTTGCTCGTTTTGTTCCTTTCCAGAGGGAACGTGAGCGACATAGTTGATGATTCACCTACCGTCCACAGCTCAGGAGTTACTCTTTGTCACTTAAACACGCCTGAAACTCAATATTTGAATATTATTTCTGAAAATCTATGTAAACACACACACACACACACACACACACACACACACACACACACACACACACACACACACACACACACACACACACACACACACACACACACACACATTATATATATATATATATATATATGTATATATATATATATATATATATATATATATACAATTTACTTATCTTATTTGAAACTAATAACTTGAGGCGTGCAGTGGCAGGAATGTACTTCCCTCGTCAGTTGGAGGGGGAGGGAGGAACTGCAGCCCGCCCCGTCCCAATTTTGAAAAGAAAGTGAGCCGAATCCGGAAGAAACCTGTTTGCTTGTTTTGCGTGTAGTTTCCATTATGTTGTGCCCTAGGTTTTACGAAACTACACATATCTGCAGCAGTTTCCCAGCCGCGCTGATTTCATGGCAATCGGTTTGGCGCGAATATATACATACATGCATATATATATATATATATATATATATATATATATATATATATATAATAAACATCAGCCACAGCTCCGGCGCTAACCCCTTGTCGCCGGTGTGAACTGAGTCAGCCACCCGAGCGGAGTCGAGCCAACTTCCCACGCCCGATCGAGGTCCGGCAAGAAAGCCGGAATCAGCGCGTCGGCTGAGGGCGTCGGCGGCGCGGGGGCGCCGCCAGACGTGCCGGGGCCGGGGGCCAGCGGCGGCGGTGGACACGTCGCTATCGATCAGTCGTGCGGCGGCTCGGTTATGGTCCCTTTCAACAGCAGGGGTCTGCAACTCAGCCGATGCGTCACCGGAGACGGTCACTGCCGAGCCGCAGGGCAGGGTGGCCTTGACCGGCCGGGGCGGTCCGTCACCTCAGCGGGGCGGGGGGGGGGGACGCTGCACGCCTCGCTGCCCGCGGCTGGACGGGGAGGGACCAGGTCGGCTGTGGGCCCGCTGCTGATGGGGGCCAGCCACGGCACGGGTGCAAGGGTGCAGGCGGGGGCTGCGACTCGCGCTGGGCCAATGTCTCCAAGTCTGTTCACGCGCTGCCGTCCGGATGCACCTCGGAATTCGTTCGCTCCTCCACAGCTGGGGCGAGTCCGAGTGTGCTGGAGACCGATATGTTGCTTCTCCGGGTGGTCCGGCTGTGGGCGACGCAGGCCAGTCGCAGAGACCGAGGTGGGGTGGCGACTGCTGAAGAGCTAGGGCCGGAAGCAGTCCGGCATCACTTGCTCACCACTACTCACCAGCCTGGTCATCAGGAGGCCACGTCACCGCTAGCACGGTGCCCTGCTTGCTCCTCAAGATTCCGTGCCCGGTGGGTGCCGGATGTCCCCGATGCAGTATTAATCGTATCCAGGGCATTGTCCACAAGTGTGAGCGTTATTCCCAGCGCATCGCGATCTGGCGCTGATGAAACAAACTTGATGCGCGTATTTTTAGCGAATTTCGTGCTGTACTTATAAGTATATGAACCGAATGTGTCCGTCGTCTGCGAATTCCCTTAGTTTGCCCTTTGCTGCTTTCGTGCAGTGAGCGACCAAAGTCCGGCGAATGAATCAACAATGTGGGTGCTGTGATGGCAATTAGGTTTCCATACGTCACATTCCTCCCCCGTCAAACGGGCGGGCTGCATAATTGATGGCCCAAAAGCCCTTGGTTATAATTGGGTGCCAGTGGACATGCAGGGCTGTGCAGTGCTTGAATGTGGAGCGACCCAGTGTGTCCATTAAAAAGGCCTTGATGCGTCATGAACGGTGCGCAAAATCTGACAATAGGTGAGAACAGTATTGAGTTTTTAAGCAGTGGGCAGGTGCGATGACCACGCGTCATGGGTAGGCCATTAGCTGGCTCTTTTACTGGAGAGGCAAGTGCTGTTTTCGCTGCAGGAAACAGACCCGCATTACCGAATTTGCAGACGATGGCTTGACGCGCGCCGTTTATGATCACTTAAATATATTTTGGCTCAGTAGTTCCCGGAATGTCGGCAACCTTCCACTTCCCGGCGGGCGTTGCTGTGTTTACGTTTATCGGTAACGAGATCAACGGCCGGCTCGCCCTTTTGTAGGCGCAGTTAAGGTGTCAAAACAAGTGACAGCCATAATAAAATGTTATCACAGTGGACCGATTCACTCAAATATCCGCGTGTGTGAGACCACTGGGGTAGAAATGCGTCGCAGTACTTTAAAAATGGCAGACACAACATATAGCACAGTCTTTGCGGTCCCCGGGAGCCACATAATGGATAGAGCTAGAGTGAGTGTTTCTACCAAAAGATGTGGCATCTCCTCTGGTTTCATATGTGTCTTTCTTTTTGCCAGGGACTAGCAGTTCAAGTTCCAATACTTCTGCAAAATCCTCATTCTACATGAACCTTCTGGAAGGTGGCAACGCTGCCTCACTGGGCGTTCTTCAAAGACTAAATGTTGACATCGTTCCCTTCTTGAGGAAGGGTAGTGCGGCTGCTGTCATGTCCGCATTGCCACAGACTTCACAAATGCAAGCTTAAGTCGCGCAGTGGTCCAAGCACTACACAAGTTGGTAAGGCCAAATGGCTGCGTTCATGCCAACTGAACAAAAATGAAGATAGTAATATTTCCGTTGTTCGGTGTCGTTTGGGCTGACCAGCTTTTTTATGATCATCGTTGTCGCCAAGGTCTGAAAATCTTGTCAGGTTTTTGGGTGGAAGGGATTCGGTAGGGGTACATGGCAAATCCAGATTCCTGGACTGGAGTCAGCCGGAACACTGTCACAGGCCGGCTGTTCTGCTCTTCCAATTTGGAAAGCATATGGTTTCGGATTTACATGCATGCCGATCAGAGGCACAGCCAGCATTTTCTGGGGGGGGGGGGGGGTTAAAGCTGGGTGGGTGCGCACCACGTCGATTTTGACTTTCCGCTAGGAGCTGCCTATGGTGAAAAACGAAAAATCCGTGCCTAAGGGACGCTCTCATCTTGACTGCGCCCCTGATGCCGGTGCGCAAGAAGAGGCGCATATTATTTAATTCATCGCAAAATAGGAATCTTCTTCTCGTGGGAAGTAATCGTGCCAAATGGAAGGCATATTTAGGGGGTAAATATACGTGTCACTGCGAGTAGCTCTGTGGGTTGCTTAGCATATTTCACAACAGAGCCCTGGGAGTCCACCGGACAGCTGGACAGGGCTGCAGAAGCTGGGAATCCCCTTGAAGACCGCTGCAGGCCTGCGAAGGTCGTCACTACCGCGCCGTCTGTGCTAGGCCTGAGAGTCCTCGGAGACAATGTCGACAGATCTGGTGACCTCCTCCGACTGCTGGGCGGCCCGGTTCGCTGAGTACGATCGATCGGGCTCAAGTACGGCAGTGGGGTCTGCTGACCTCACCGATCCACCCCTCGTACTGCCGTCCGAGTTCCCTGAAGTCGCGTCCCGGCCGTCCCCCCTCCCCCCCCCCCCCCCGTTGAGGGTCGGCACCAGTGTCGACCTTCGGCGGGGCGCCGCCGGTGCCGATTGGACGATTGATCGTTGCCGCGGACGACTCTGCTGCCGGGCCGACCCGGAAGCGGGTCAGGTGCTTTACGGAAGGCTGGTGTCAAAGCTAGAGGAGACCTGTCTGGCTCCAGATATCAGATGTGATATGGGAATGAGTCAAGCTGCTGTGAAATCTAATATAAGAAGGCTTGCACAAGACCTAACCCGCAGCCGGCGGCCGTTATTCCGGCCATTATCAGGTGCGATTAAAGCGAAGTGGCAAATAAAGAAACAAATCACAAAGGAGCTCCGTGCAACTGTCATCATATACAAAAATCAAAGTTATCTTCGCAATCACTGCAGCCCAGCTGTTGTGGTGTAAAACTGAATTTAACGAACTCCTGCTAATCATCTCTAATTCTCGTGCAGACGGGCGTTCGGTTCATAGGCAGCGAAAGACGTAGGTCGGCGATACAGCTGTTCCAATGAGGTGGTCGCAGTAGCAGCTGACGTAAGTAACTTGCGAAGTGTTCGAGATGGAAGGTTGTTAAGGCTACATTACAGTTTGTTTTTTTTTTGCTGGATCCTCGTAATAGTTTTTGATAGCAACTGTTCGCATCGACCTGCGCGCTAATGTCGACCTCTCAAATCCGCGTGGATTTATCGGATCGATGTATTGACTCGTTCGCTTCATAGGCCGCGCGGTGAGACCGACAAGAGATGTCATTGGTGAGGCCTCATGTGATCGATCCCCCACTGTCAAAGTTTCTTTGAGTGCGATTCGTATAATTGACTGGATTATGATTTAGACGGGACGTAACAATTTGGTCTCAAGCAGCTACCAGATGCCAACTTGCGAACCGGAATTACGCCATGAAACCCTAGCCTGTCTATCGCCCGTCGCTAGAGACTGGAGCGGGCGGGAGGAGGGTGGGGGAGGCCGCTGGGGAGAGACACCTCCACCCCGCAGCGTCACGGCACCGGCCTGCACGCGGCCGCGGACATTAGTATGCGGAGCGGGCCCGCCGGCCGTCGGGGAGTGCGGGGTAAAGCCCACAGCGGACCCGTCACAAGTGGGCCGGGGTCGTAAGGATGGCATGGCGCGGTGCATGCTCGGAAGTATCCTCCGTGGGCGACCGTGTAAGCTCTTTAAACGCTGCGCCACCGAAGGCGAGGCACAGGGGCTGGGCGGATTTCCCGGTGGATATGTCCCTCCGATTACTAAACCCCGCTGTGACGGTTTGCCCAGGATGCGACTAGTGGCGCGGCAAACGACTCAGCAAAGGAAACGATCGAGCGTGACATCCCTCCGGGATGGCAGCTGGCAGAGTCACCCAGAAGGCCGCTGGGGGCCATGGACCATTGAGCCCAGTTCAGCCACACGCCATTCCCTGGTGACCCGACCTCAGCCCTGCACACCGTACAACCGCCGGTTAGCCGCGCCCTGCTCTGCCCAGGCCGGTGCGGTGGTCCACGCTCTCTCCCCGCCGCCGCCGGATCCGCGCCCGTGTTTGCGCCGCTCCCGGGGGAGTCCGGCGGAGGCGGCGCGCGCCAAGTGCCGACTCCCGCGCGCCGACGCCGGCGGCGGCACGCCAGGGCACTGACGAGACGTAAACCGAGCGTGGAAAATAGAGGCGCGCCCGGCGCGGTGCCCTGCCGTGCTGTCAGTCAGCGGCGAGTAAAGCGTATCGTTCTCTCACTCAGGAGGACAGTAAGTCGGTGCCAATCAGTCTGCTCACGTCCGAGGCGAACCTGGTAAGGAGGCGGCCAGGCGCCGCCTGCTCTCGGTGTCATCGCACCCTCCCTCTCTCTCTCTCTCTCTCTCTCTCTCTCTCTCTCTCTCTCTCTCTCTCTCTCTCTCTCTCTCTCTCTCCTCTCTCTCTCTCTCTCTCTCTCTCTCTCTCTCTCTCTCTCTCTCTCTCTCTCTCTCTCTCTCTCTCTCTCTCTCTCTCTTCTCTCTCTCTCTCTCTCTCTCTCTCTCTCTCTCTCTCTCTCTCTTCTCTCTCTCTCTCTCTCTCTCTCTCTTCTCTTCTCTCTCTCTCTCTCCTCCTCTCTCCTCCTCTCTCTCTCTCTCTACTCTCTCTCTCCTCTCTCTCTCTCTCTCTCTCTCTCTCTCTCTCTCTCTCTCTCCCTCTCTCTCTAAGTTCCCTGAACGCTCTTTTCAGTTCGCACAGATCGATGCGAGCACCTGTTTTTGCCGATGGATGTTGTTCGCTGCTGAGCTTCCGTTATTGGAGCTGTACAAAAAGGCGGCTGTGTTCGGTGTTCACCTGCAGTTCGACAAAGCCTGCCTGCCATCAACCTCAATAGAGGGCCTGCCTGGGCGTATGACCGCACCTTTGCTTCCATCAAAGGTGTGGCACCCTGCACCCGCATATGGCCGCACCCCACCAACGCGCGGGAAAAATAGCAAGGCTTGACAAACCTCAACAAAATGAACTGCTCGCCATGCTGCGAGCGCAGCTTACAGCCATTGCAAACGTGCGTGGATCATACCGGGCCTGATTTCTGGCGCTGTTAGCGGAACGTCTGGCTTCTGCATGGCCTCCTGCACAGCCCCGTCTTTGGCAGGCGCGACAGTCGTGCTGTCTTCTGACGCACTCGCCCGGGGGCCGGAATCGATTGCAGTCTTAAACTGTTGTCCCCAGCGGCAGTCCGTCTCTGGCTGTCCTCCACCCGCCCAGTTTTAAGCAGTGGGCATGGGCGTTGTAAGCCGCATTCCACCCGGACGGCCCGGCTCCAGCCGTCGAAGGTTACCGCCAGACATCATCTGCTGAGGGTCTGAAGACAGACGCGAGTTGGTGCCGAGGTGGGCACCCCAAGCCTTTCGTGGCCTTCTGGACCACCCGACCGTTTTCAGCTGTCCCTAGACGCCTGCAGAAACACCAGCCCTCCCCGTCTGCTCCAACGCTCCTGTCTACCCCCAGCCACCCCCAGCCGTCTCTAGCCGTCCCTAGCCCTCCCGTGGCGCCCCAGAGCGCCCCAGCCGTCGCCAGCCCTCCTCAGCAGTCACCAGCCACCTCCAACCGTCCCTAGCCCTCCCGTGGCGCACCAGAGCACCTCAGCCGTCCCTGGCCCTCCCGTGGCGCACCAGAGCGCCTCGGCCGTCACCAGCCCTCCCCACTTCTCCACCGTGTCGGTCCCGTCAGTCGCGAACCTCGTCGTCGCCCGGCCGCTGGGACGGCCTTAATGAAGTCTCCAATCGATGCCGCTCTACGGCGCACCACCGCCGCCCGGAAGTCGGCAGGAAGCCGCACCGGAAGCACCACCGTCTGCACGTGGACGGCCAACAGGCGGACGCAGCCGCCACCGCCGCCTTCGTCGTCGTTGGCGGCGGCGGCGACGGCCCGGAACATCGCCGATTTGTGACGACAGGCGAGCGTCGCGCGCCGGGCGCGGGGGCTCAGCGCCGAGCCGTCGGCGGAAATTGAACCGACGCGCTGCGAGATGGCGGGTCTGATCCGGCGCAGGCACGGCACCACGCGCGGGAGCTGGCCGGCTGGCCGGGCCGGCGCTGTTCGGAGCGGGGCCCGGTGTGCGTATCGCCTCGGGGGGGGGGGGGAGGTAGGTGCATGCGGACGCTGCCTGGCTTCGCCCTTGGCTCGTGGTGCGGGTTAGCCTGCTACGGACGCGCTGTTGTGAGTGCTCGGTGTGGTCTCGGCCTTTGGTGGAGTCTTGTCGCCCTTCTCCTGACGCACTGCACGCTGCCTTTGTTAGCCAGAGTCACTCCTGGTAGAGCGCTTGATCGTGCGCCACATCTCTGTCTAACACGGATAGTACCCGACGTAGACGAAGCGAAAAATGAATGCACATCTCAACCCGAAGTGGTGCTCTTCAAGCCCGCCGGGGCATGATCGCCAGAAACACATGCTTTCCGAACTGCGTGTCCTGTTCAGTAGCGCGAGTGCGCGGAACACATTCTGCAGTTTCTATTTCAGTGCGTGCCGCGCTCTGGGAAAGTGCCAGCTGCCGGATGCTACCGACCAGTGTAGCTAACAGCGCCAATGCTCCCGGCAGCAGCAGCCGCCGCCGTCTCTCGATCGATTCGAGTGTGCCGTCTCTTATGTCGTCTAATTGGTCGTTTCATCTTTAAGTATCATTTTTGATGGGCTCGAAATGTTGGAAAGAATGGTGGAAAGGTGCTGGAGAAAAAGGCGAATAAGAATGCGTGCGTGCGAGCTTGCGTTCCTGGGTGCGTGCGTTCCTGGGTGCATGCGTGCGTGGGTGGGTGCGTGTATGCGTGCGCGCGCGCTTGCATGAGGGAGTGAGTGAGTGAGTGAGTGAGTGAGTGAGTGAGTGATCGAATGGAGGGGGGGGGGGACGAGTGAGGAGTGAGTGAGTTAGAATACAAGGCACAGATAAACTGATACTGAGTAGGGAAACGGCAGATAACTGGGCAGAACGGACAGAGATGCGTGACTCCACGCGTACCGAGTCATGTTTACTCATTCGACGTCCGTTACCACCAGGTCCTCCCCTCCTGGGTGGCACCAAGAACAGGGTCCATCTCGTTCAAGATCCGCACCAACGAGGAAGATGGCCTGATCCTCTTCAACAAGGGCAGCCATGAAATGGTAAGCGGCGAGTGCTCTGGCACAGATGGGTGCGGAATAGTACGTGCATTGGGAGGGAGGACGCCGAACAGACAACGCGTTATATTTTACTCGCTGGACTGCCCACATACATAACTATTTGACGCGCGATGATTATAGTCGTGTCACAGCCTTGCTTGGCATCCTTCCCTGCCCCCCCCCCCCCCCTCCCCCTCCTCCTCCTTCTCTTTTGTCTCTCCCTTTGTCGTTTTTCTATTCCGCGTTCTTCCTTCCTGTCAGTATGTGTGTTCGTGCCCTACACGACGAAATAGTAATTAATTACGATTCTTTTAATTATGCAGCGGTGTGGTGACATCGCGCGCAGCGCTTCATCATTCATTGAATGGCCGACTACGGCCGAGCCCTGGCCAAGTGAGATTAAGGCCAAATTAACGACGTTGTAAAGTCACCGAACCTGGGTCCCATAGAGCGCCGCGGGGGGTTCGCCACTGAAGCACAATCGTGAATCGTTTAAACGCACTAGAAAGCATGAAGGGGGAAACACATCCGAGTGACCAAACCACACGGGGTCATTAAGGCTCAAAGTCGCTATGTTCACACCAGAGGTATAGGTCAAGATGTAAAACAGAGTTTGGATACCAAGTGTGGCACAATTATGCTGGTGCTTTGTATTCACGAAACAGGCGGACGAACGTGACTTGTGATCGGATAGCTGCCTTTGCACGCCCAGACGACGTTTGAGACCGTTAAGTCCGATATTAGCGCCAAAGCTCGGCTTTTTGTGCGTTTTTGCGGGGACTTTTTAATGAACTGAATTTTTTGGGCGCAGTCCAATGAAATCCAACAGTTTAAAAGTGATCCACCCACAAGCTCGTCTTTTTATGAATGATCGATCTGACCTGGTCGAATGCGTCTCAGCAAGCGTTTTTCAAAACGCTGTCCATATCATTCAATCACATCCGGTCGTGGCTTAATGTTCGTGATTGCGGCGTTAAGTTTGGCATTATCTGGCACATTTACCACTTGTCAAAAAGCAGTTATTTCCTCAATCCACTCAATCAGCTTGTGTGGGGTATGAAATCCAATCCAATCACACCCCTTGTTGCTAGTGACTTTTTATTCATTCCGGTCCAACCAATGGATGAATTATAAGGCCATGGATTTATGACATTTTTCAAGAGATCTTATCGACACCGACTGGATCAAAATTCCATGCGCAGCGATACCGGCGCGTGCTTGCTTGTGGCGCGGAGCAAAATTTCCCGCAGGGTGTAAACGATGTTGTCTACATGACTTTGACGGAGGATTGCCTGTCTAGAGACTATGGCGTTATGTGTCAATCGCTAAGATATTCGTTTTTTTCGGGGTGGGTCGGTAATCCAAAGCAAATTCCATTGTCGCGAGAATTGCCATGCATCAGCACGCCGACCGCCAGGGTGCACCGCAGCGCGCTGCTCCACGGCCAGTCAGCACATGGTTGCGCTGGCGCTGTCGGCTGATGACTGAAGCGTTGCGTGCCATCATGGGCGTTGTGTACCATCACGTGTTAACTGATGTTGTCGAACACGTCAGCCGATATTTCGTGGGTGCCTCACTTGTATATCCGTAGTGTTGCATTCGTTCCAGCAGTGCAGCCGATTGCGGTTGTGATAAGCTCATGAAAACCTAATCACCACGCGCTGGTTGGATGGATAACAGGCGCATTGTGATGCTCACTGCGATGTTTGGAGCCGTGCTTCACGCTCTCCCCGGGCGCTGTGCCGCACGCCACTGAGTCGAAACTGCTGCCGGGGCGACCGCGACTGCGGGATCATATTTCGCAGCATTGGAGCCATCATGAATCATGAGTCCACGTGAATAATCATCTGCCATCATGATTGCATTGTGGGCCGGGCACGGCCACCTTTCAGTGGATGTTAAATGGTTGTGGTTCAATGAACGGAGGACGTCTGAGGTTCAGAGGATCGCTTGCTGGTCTGGTTCAAAGGATGATCCAATGTCGCAATTTATTGGTCGGACAGTAATTGCGATTCAGTGGTTGGACGTTAGCCATATTCAGTGGTTGGAAAATAGCCGTGATTCAACGGCCGAACAGCAGCCGTGGTTCAATCGGTAGCCGCGTCTCTGCGGAAGTTCAGACGCGTCCACGGCTCAGTGGAGGGTCGGGCGGGGCGGCGGTGAAGTGCATAACCCTAGCCGTCGAGGCGTCCCTGCACCTCAACTCAGTGTGGCTGGTCGCGCGGCGCGCTGGCGCTTACGGCGGCGGCCGGCCTCGTTTGTCACCCTTTGTCCGGAGGCGGCGCGTGCTGGTCTTATTGAGCCCGCGGCTCTTGCCCGGCCGGTCAGCCGCGCCGCCATCTTTGAAAAGCCGCTCGGCTACCCGTCACGGCTTTGTGCGCCTGCGTGTTAATCTTCGCGCCGCGCTCAACTTCAAAGGCGTTGCCGCGAGCCATTTTGGTGGAAGCAAAACGCAGCTCTCGGGCCCAGGCCGCTTTATTTTTGCTGGACGTCGCATTGGACTGCGAAGCTGCTCTTTTTCTAGGTCGCTCCAGCGCGCAGGATAATGCTGTTGACTTGTTTTTCCTGGTCCGGCCAAACGCGCCGGACGGCGGCCGGCTTTTTCTCTCGATCCGGCGCCGCGCGGCTGGCTGTACTGGGACCATGCCGAGCCGACTATATGCTCGCCAGACTGGTCTCTGCTGAGCCCTGCGGCCTAGGCTAACATGCGTGGCCGGCCAAGCGCGCGGCGGTTATCGTACTGAAGCGGATTGGACTGCTCTCATTGGTCAGCTGAGCAACATGGGCGCAGCCTCCACTGGTGTCAGCGATGTCAGAACCCCAGTAAAAGCTCGGCAGACGCGACATTTTTCAGTTTTGGTCACATAAAATGTCACTGAAGCAAATAAGTCGGAGCAAATTTGGTTTCAGACCAGGGCGGCCATTGACAGGTAGTTACGACCCCGCCGGGCACCATGCATCAGAGCCAGGCGGTATCAACGTGCTCAGCCTACCGAACAGCGGGCTCGTCTGCTCGGAGTCCACGCGAGTAGTCGTGAACTACGTGTTTCCTGCACCAGATGTGAACCCAAACCCACGCCATTTGCCCGACGAATCAATCTAACCGCGCCCGTAATGAGCCGCCACATGCCGATCGGTGCGCGGGGCACATGCCGCATGCCAGGAGGATGGATGGCAACTGGCATTCAGCGCGCTCCACATGACAGTTACCTTTCAGCAGCCCGCGCGGCACGTGCCAGCGCCGTTCTGACGCCAGCCATGCCCCAGGATGACATGTTCGCGGTCGAGCTGCTGGCCGGGAATGTGTGGGTGCACGTGGACCTGGGCTCGGGCGCCGTGCGCGTGCGCGCCACCAACCGGCGTGTGGACGACGGCCTCTGGCACGACGTGGCCGTCATCCGCGACGGCAGGAAGGGCCGCGTCACCGTCGACGGCACCGCCTTCGACTTCGCCACGCCCGGTCAGTGCCGGGGGCCGGCCACCGCCGTCGGGACAGGCGGCTGTCGGCTGCCCGCCGTGGAGTGTGCCCACCGCACGGGCCATGTCGTTTGGATTGGTGCGCTGAGGGCCAGTGTGTAGCAACGTATTGCGGGTATAGCTGGCCTCGTTGCAGTGACGATTATTCAAGATGTTATTATTTGAAATTAAGAACCATATAATTCGTCGTGTGACTAATCAGACCTCGATTCTAGGGAAGCATGCACCCTGTCATACTGGCGAATAGCAAATGCATTGCAAAGACAAGGAGACAAAACTGACCTTCCATGCCTTTTGCCCTCCGTTCAATTTTGTATTCAGTGATTTCATGACTTCCCCTGTGCCCGCCAACTTAACGTGCCTCCACTGCCGTTCCCTGTCTCCTCCGCTGTCACCTGCTTACGTCCATATCTTCCCTGCCGTCCTTTCTTGCCTACCGTCCTCCATTCAAGCCCCCCTTTCGTCTCTTGCGTAGTTTGCTACCTCTCCTTTACTCTCCCTTGTCCAACGTTGCCGTCTCCTCCGCCGTCCTCTGCCCAACATCACCGTCTCCTCTGCTGTCCCCTGACCAACATTGCCGTCTACTCTGCCGTCCCCTGACCAACATCGCCGTCTCCTCTGCCGTCCCATGACCAACATCGCCGTCTCCTTTGCCGTCCCCTGCCCAACATTGCCGTCTCCTCTGCCGTCCCTCACCCAACATCGCCGTCTCCTCCGCCGTCCCCTGCCCAACATTGCCGTCTCCTCTGCCGTCCTCTGCCCAACATCGCCGTCTCCTCTGCCTTCCCCTGATCAACAACCGCCGTCTCCTCTGCCGTCCTCTGACGAACATCACCGTCTCCTCTGCCGTCCCTTACCCAACATCGCCATCTCGTTCGCTGTCCCCTGCCCAACATCTCTGTCTCTTCTGCTGTCCCCTGCCCCACATCGCTATCTCCTCTGCTGTCTCCTGACCAACATCGCCGTCTCCTCTGCCGTCCCCTGACCAACATTACCGACTCCTCTGCCGTCCTCTGCCCAACATCGCCGTCTCCTCAGCCGTCCCTGACCAACATTACCGTCTCCTCTGCCGTCCCCTGCCCAACATCGCCGTCTCCTCCGCCGTCCCCTGCCCAACATCGTCGTCCTCCGCCGTCCCGTGCCCAACATCTCTGTCTCTTCTGCCGTCCCCTACCCAACATCGCCGTCCCCTCTGCCGTCCCTCACCCAACATCGCCGTCCCCTCCGCCGTCCCCTGCCCAACATCGTCGTCCTCCGCCTGACGCCGCCCTCGGCCGCCGTCATCAGGCAGCCACAACCGGCTGGACCTGGAGGGCGCCCTGTACGTGGGCGGGCTGGGCGCGGACCACGACCGGGTGCGTGTGCCGGCCCAGGTGTGGTCCGGCACGCGCCGGCTCGGCTACGTCGGCTGCCTGCGCGACCTCGTCATCAACGGCAGCGTCATCGACGTGGCCAAGTACGCCCGCCGCCAAGACAGCGGTGAGTGCGGCGGCTGTGGAGGTGACGGTGGCGGGTCGAGGACAGAACAGCGGTGAGTGCGGCAGCTGGGGAGGCGACGGCGGCGGGTCGAGGGTAGGACGGCGGTGAGTGCGGTGGCTGGGGAGGCGACGGCGGCGGGTCGGGGGTAGGACAGCGGTGAGTGCGGCAGTTGGGGAGGCGACGGCGTCAGGCCGGGGCGGATTGAGTGCTGCGACTCTTGCGCCGGATTGGAGGGCGAGAACGGGCACTCCTGGAGGAGAGTGGGCGTGTGAGTGTCCAACGGTCCTGCAAGGATTGGGCCTGTGTCCGCCCTGCTTAAGGAGAGGAGAGCTGGTAGCGACTCCGAAAGCAGTAAGCGACAAGTGGCCGACACGACTCTGTGGTTAACACGGTGGTGAGCGTCCGCAATCTTGAACACGTCCTGTAGCATGCCACTGGAAAGTGCTGAGCTGCCCAGCATCCCAGAAGTGCTAAACAATACGCTCGGGAGGTCAATGACCAGAGTGGGCTTTTAGTCCGCATTAAATGATATTTTGGGCACGAAATCAGGAGAAGATATCGGCATGCGGGAGGCACTTCGCTTCTAAAAGCTCAGCAAGGTTGCCCGAAGGCAATGACTTAGGATGGTCTTTTATCCTTTGATGGGTCGGTTGTTGGTCACTTTGTGCACTTGGTACAATCTAGAAGACGATAATTTTTCCGCTTTAATAAAAAAGTTCCGTGCTGTGCCCAGAAAACCGTGGTTGACCTGATCCAGATGTCAAGCTAGAAATCTTTGGATTCCTCAGACACCAAGATATCCACAGTGGCTCTGATTCGATTTGGTGCTAGTGTCGAGAGATACGTGCCAACCCCACGGGCTAGCCAATGACGCAAGTCGAATAGCGCAATAGCTGCCGCCGGCGAGGGTGCAGCTATGACTCACTATCGTGTAAAAGTAGCGCTGGGATTCGTCACGAACACTGCAAAGAGTGATGCCACTGTTCTCTGCGGACTGTGCTGCTGTTCTCTGCAAAGACTGATGCCGCTGTTCTCTGCAGAGTGATGCCGCTGTTCTCTGCAGAGTGATGCCGCCGTTCTATGCAGGGATGCCGCTGTTCTATGCAGAGTGATGCCAGTGTTCTCTGCAGAGTGATGCCGCTGTTCTATGCAAAGTGATGCCACTGTTTTGATGTCAATGTTCTCTGCAGAGTGGTGCCGCTGTTCTCTGTAAAGAGTGATGCCGCTGTTCTCTCTCCACCCGGCATGAATAGGCCCGGTCTCTGCAGCAATCTTTTGAGGCCCAACAGCTGCGATTTCCTCTGCGGACGGCTTCAGAGACCTGTGTTTTAACGGTCGAGAAGCGTCACCAGCCTGTGTTTGACACTCCAGTGTCCTGAATCCCATTCATGGCAATTCACTCCAAATGGGATGCCTTGAACTTAGGGGTGTGTGTGAACAAATACTTGACCTTTTGGGGAGCTCAGCAGGTGTGACCTTTGATCTTATGCCCGGATGCCGGACTGGCGTTGGGATTTTCATGTCGTGTGCTAGACCCAGTGTGCACTGAGCGTGGCTCCGCCCCAAAAGCACGTTTTTTAATCGTTTGTCCGTGTAGGCCAGCAGTTAACTTCTTTAAGAACGAGTTTCAGCTCTGCTAGCGATAATCGATTAAGGAAGACGCACTTAACCGTGGCTTTCAGTGTGGCGTGGTGAACTCTAGGCGCACCAGAACAATAGCTCTTTAGTTCCTCCAGCTCCCTTTCATTGTTGAAGAACCAATATGTCATTTGCTTAACTAATGCGCCAGATGTTTCTGTTGGTGGGTTCCTTCTAAGTGCATTGATATAGACAAAGATGAAATGTGTTTAAGTCATTGTAGGATAGGATCGTTTCACCCGTTGGAAACGAAGCACGCATTCGGCTCGTGAATTCAACAAATACCGCCAGAATGCAGTTAGGATGCCTTTGAAGGTGGCGTCGAGTAGGAGCCAAATTGACTTGAATTTTAATTATAATAATATAACTGAACAAGAATGTGAATCACAGCATAATTTTTCTGACAGCCTTCGCGTCGCCCGCAGATGGAACACTCAGCGCACGCCCGTCTTCCGGCCATACTAAAATGCTAACTTGTATGTACGTGTACAGGCCATGACCTGCATACCTGAATATATTCTAATCATTGGCTTGCCAGCGGAATCCTTCGTGAAACAGGCCATGCTTGGTATTGCTGTATAGCTGAATTACATTCTTAACTCCTAGCATTGCTCTTAAATGTCGTTGTGTATTTAGACAGTTGGTCGTTCATGAACTTCTTCAGGGTTAAATGCATGCGTATCATCACCACTTCAAGAGCTCGCGAGTGAAACGTCAAAGCGGTACGATGAAACATCAGGCCTGACTTTTCCACCCCATCAGCTCGTAGCTTATGCTCCTAACCTCTTGATAACCTGTCACATGAGTGGATCAAGAAGGCATAAATTGCTGGCGTAAAATACTGCCGCGGACCGGACAGGCCGGGCCGTAACCACGTCAGGACGTCACATTTTTCACGCTGCTTGCTCCCGCGGCCAGCCGCTGCCGCAAACTGAGCGCGGTTCACCGACCTTTGACCGGAGCACTCGGTCCGAACCACACAACTCTCGGGGGTCGAGGGTCCGAGTGGCTGGCATCTCCCGGAGGGCACATCTCGGCGCTGTGGCCCCTGACCTCCAGCCTCTGACTCGGGTTGCTTTGCCTCGAGCACCTGGATTACTTGGAAGGCTTCCTTAGATTCTTGCGTTCATTCCTTCACTCGCCCGACGGTCTCCCTCGGGAAACTTCTGGCGACAATTCGTTGACCTCTGACTGCTCGCAGTTCGTTGGCCTCTGACTCCGACCTCGGACGGTTTGATGCCTTTCGGCGTCAGTTGAGGGTTTCGGCTTCTAAACTGGTAATGTCGTTGTGCACTGTGACCCCGACCCGGCGATTCGGGAGCTGATGTCACGAAGTGTTGCTCCAGCTCTGTCTGCACCGGACCTCTTACCTTCCAACCTCGCCGCATTGCAGCCGACATCGCCTCTCAAGTTCACCGCAGCGCCAGTTTCTGCTGCTCTTTGACCCGTCTGCGGGTCGCTCTCTGCTGATAATTGCCCCCGGGCGACCCCATCGTTTCCTCCAGCTGGATTTTGACCTCTGACCTTTTCGCGGGTGCCTCCGGCGTGTGTGTCAGCGCCAGTTCCGCCTGTGACCTGACCCGCGCTCTGTGGCTCCTCCGCAGGTGGCTCTGTGCTGACCGAGTGTCACTCGGGCCCGCCGCAGTGCGACTCGCAGCCCTGCATGAACGGCGGCCAGTGCTCTGACGGCTGGAACAGGTTCATCTGTGACTGCACTATGACCAGCTTTACCGGGGGCACGTGCACCGAAGGTCAGTCGTCTACCAAGGTCCTGTGCGACGTCGCCAAAGGACGAGATAATACTATGCAGCTGTTTCATTCGGATATCATGTTGTGCGGATCACCACCACCATCGTGTGGAAGGCGGCGGCCGCGAGGCGGTCTTTGCTCCCATCGCGCGTGTCCCCATCGGTCCGTGCTCCCATCGCGCGTAGCCCCATCGGTACGTGCTCCCATCACACGTGTCCCCATCGGTCCGTGCTCCCATCGCGCGTGTCCTCATCGGTCTGTGCTCCCATTGCGCGTATCCCCATCGGTCCGTGTTCCCATCGCACGTGTTCCCATCGGTCCATGCTGCCATCGCGCGTGTTGCCATCGGTACGAGCTCCGATCGCACGTATCCCCATCGGTCCGTGCTCCCATCGCACGTATTCCCATCGGTCCGTGCTCCCATCGCACGTGTCGTCACCGGTTCGTGCTCCCACCGGACGTGTCGCCATCGGTTCGCACTGCCACGGCACGGCCGTCACACCGTGCGCCCGGCCGCAGATGCCACCACCGTGAGCTTCGACGGCACGCAGCACATGATCGTGCCGCTGCACAGCGAGCAGTACACCGAGGCCGACGACATCACCCTGCGCTTCAGGACCAGCCGACCCTCAGGTACGGCGGTCGCAGCCTCGGGTCTGGACTCACGGCCGTATCAGACAGGTTGGAGATGGGTGTTCACGGAGGGAATCAAAGGCGTCCAGATTGGACGTGATTGGTTGTTTTTAGAGTTTCGTCGGCAAGGCTTCGTTTTTCACATGGCTGTTATGAAAACAGATGGTGATAGCACGGCCCGGGATAACGCTGGATCGTGCGTCAGTCTGGGGCAATACCCACGTACGTCTGATCGCCGTCTAGGTTTGTGTGACGGGGCCGTGGTGAATTACGTGCTTTTCCCCAACTTCGTCGAATTTCAATGTTCATTGTTATGGGAGGAAGTCCTTGTGAAATCTTGGGAGGAATTTGCACTGGCGGAATTTCTTAAGTTGCCGGCGAGGTTCGATATTTAAATGTGGTATTAATTTCATACGAAGCTAGACCAGGCGCTTTGTGTGAGGCGATTTCAACGCCTTTGAGCTCCGTCGGTTCAAAGCCTAGGTTCAGTCCTTTCAAAACCAGCGAACAATTTCACGTTTCCCAGGCTCAATACCCCTCACGAATAATGAACCCGTCCAATTGTGATTGCCGTCCACCTCATTACTGGCCGTCAATCCACGGGGCGTGCGGCTTCAGGCTACCAGCGCAGCGCACGCCACATTTGGGACCTGCGGGGCGCTGATTCGGCTGCCGGGAGTCCATTCCGGGCAGGGGCGGCCGGGCTCGTGATCCAGTCCAGATGTCTGCTGGTCGGACTGAAGCGTCCCCCAGATTGCGCGGCCTTTCAGTGAGGACCGGTAATTGGGAAAGTCGATTGGCTGCCGCGCCCGCCAGCGCGAGCTCGAAGGCTGAAATGAGGCCGTGGGCCATCCGCCACTTCGAAGTGTTGTTAGGGCAGAAGACGGGGTCACGTGGTATGGCCTAGCGTGAGCGTGACAGAAACTGGACAGGATGTCCGCTGCACGGATGGCATAATCATAGCTTGTCGGAGTCGGGGTAATGAGTTGTTGGCTGATGACGGAAAAAGCCGTCTGTGCGCGATGCCTTTTCAGACATGCTGCGATGACGCGGCGATATGCTTTGTCGGTGCCGCTTCGATCTGACCTTCTTTGTTTCTGAACCCCGAAACTACCCACGCCGTGACTTCGGCTGACCGGGTGAATGAACTAAACATTGTTCGACCGTGTGCTGTGCTGACCTGACGTGTTTTAGTCTTTTGTCATCCCCGAGTTGATCTCTTGTCGTGAACTGGCATTGCCCGTGCGTGACTTAACCTATTATGTTACTGATCTGATCCTGCACGCTCCCGACCGTCTTTTAATTTCCCATTCCGTGATGTTGCGCTAAACGCTTAACCCGACCCAGCCATGACTCAAGATTGTCTGTTCCCTGACGTTGTCTCGTCTACCCTGCTTCGGCCTCGTCCTTCTCTGACCTGGCCTCCTCTGACCTGACCTCGTATGCACCTGACCTGACCTTGTCTATCCCTGATCTGACTTATCCGGCCTGTTGCCCTGACTGATCTAACCTCGTCGGACCCCCGTCGTGACCCCGTCTGCCCCCTGACCTGGTGCCCAGCCCAGCCCAGGCCTGATCAGCCCCTCGCATGACCTCGTACCCTATCTCGCAGGTCTGCTGTTCGCCACCACCGCGGGCAACTCGGACCGTGTGGAGCTGGCCCTCAACGGCGGCCGGATCCGCCTTACAATGCGCATTGACGACACGTACAAGGTGAGGCTCGCCCGGCTGGTCCAGTTGGTGACATGGCGCAGGCTGGCGCGATCGCCCTGCCGCTGCATGACTTGGACGAATGGGAAAAGCTAACTTAAATTCGAAACACGGCTAAGCCATGGGAATGAACGTAATTTTTTATCATACAAAACAAATCACGATTACATGCATGTCTTGAACCCAATTCACCAAATTGTAAATGCCATCGCAGATTCCGTTACGACAAAATAACCTAAGTTCTGGCAGCTTGCCAGTTGCCACCTGTAGCCATTCCCCGACACTTCCCTAGCAACACGCAAATTTGGGTGCTAACGGCTGAGATTGATGAGTTTCCGATAACTCCCGAACTTTGTCCCAAATATGAAATGGAATGGCGCGCCTGAGTGGTTTGTCGTGTTCTGGCGTTACGCTTGGGTGTTGCATTTCAATCAGCATTGATTTGTACGTGCTGAGGCAATATGAGGAGTCCGTCCTAGTGATCAATGCCCTCTAGGTCACGCTACACGTAGCACTCGAGAAAGCTGCTTTAAGGATGCCTTTGATGGCATCTTAATTGCGTCTCCAACTACCTTAGAGTATTTGCAGTCCCAACTGCCCCTTGCATTTGGGGACAGCTGTATGCACGATAAGATATTTTGTCATGCTGACTCTTTAGACTCCTTCCCTTAATTCCACGCACTGGATTAAAACAGACAGCGTCTTCGTTACTTAATGCGCACGCAGCCACCTTGATGTCCAAATGATACCACGACGCCCTTTTTAAAGGGAGTGCTCCATATTTGAGGAGTTAAAGCAAACATCGGATGTGACGAAATAAACTCACTTAGAACTATAAGGATGTTTTTAAGGGGAAAATTTACATAGACAACACAATTTCGCTGTTAAGTAACTATGCTTCTCAGTAAGTTATTGTTTGATTACGTCCTCGTGGCTTGCACAGGATTGGTTGAGAGCCATCTGACGCGGCCATTATACCTGGAAATCGTGCCATCGAACGACGGTTATGAGCGACTCGACAATTACATTTTTATTGGTCTTAATCGCCGCATGACCAATGGAATGGCAGGATTCGAATAACGTTATTATGGCGGCATGGATGCTTGGGTGACCTTGACAAAGTCTCACCGAAAAGTCTGCAGATCTTCGGAGGCGTGGTGTTCCAGACACATGAGCGGATTTAGGTCTCAAGAAGGAAGGGCTGCTAACTGCACCGAATGATCTTGGACACCAATGTGGAACACTCTCGTTAATCTGCAGCGTCCTCATCCTACGCCGGGCTGGGGAGCGATTACGACAGATCCCCACGCCCCGCGGATCGCAGCAGCAGCATCCCCGTGGCTGTGGATACCATGGCTGTGATCGCTTCAGAACATTGGCTTTAACCATAGCGCTGCATCAAAAACGGGGTCTCAAAACATACTTTTTCTAATTTTTTCATAGCCGTCCGCTGATGACTAATGTTTACCTGTGCGGTAAATATAACAAGAGGCTTTGGCACTCTACGCTTGCGACCACCCGGCTTAGCTAGGGGCTGGTCCGGGCGTCGCTGAGCGACTGGGCACGACGTTGTGCATGGTAGCTTGTGGCGGATGCTCAAGATGATGTAACCAACCCAAACGATACTACCGCTGTAAGGCGACAGTGTATTGTCTTCCCTGTCGGAGAGTGAGCTGCCCCACCCCTTACCTCCCGTCCCACCTGTTTGGAGACCCTGAGTTATTACTTTTCTGGGGGGGGGGGGTAGCCCATCGAACTTTTTAGGCCACGGTTCTGAAACTCGGTCTCGGCTGACGAAACGGGCCTCCCAACGTATTACGCACATGGACTGAAGCCTCTCGGGAGGGATGCCTAGTTAGTTATTGAGACGCCTTTGGAAACAGGAGCCTGTTGAAAAGCTCTTTCATGTCTCACTGGGTCTGTTCTGCCCCTGAGTAAACGGTTGTTTAACCCATCGCGCCCTCCGTCCCTGGGCGTCCACGAGTCAGCGCCATATCCCCGAGAGAGCTGGGCCCTCTGATCACACGCCCCCCCCCCCCCCCACCCACTCTTCCCTGATCCACCGAGCCGGTAACCTCATCAGTACCCATTAGCGGGCCCGGGCCAGACCAGAGCCGGTCCCCTGCCGCCGCCTGGCCAGCGTCCGGCGGAGGCAGGCAGACGGCGCCGGAGTGGCCGCTGTCCGGAGTGGCCGCTGTCCGGAGTGCCCGCAGCTCTACTCTGTGCGGCCCGCGGCGGACACACGCCAGTGCCGTCCGCCGGACGGTGTGCTGCGTCGCGTCCGGGGCTTGATGCCGACCTCACGACCGTCATCGCGCTAATGCGGCTGTCGGGCACTGGCGATACACTCAGCTCGGTGGCGGATTAACGAGCTTCAGGGTGTGTGGGCTGCGGTGCACTTAGCTGTGAACTTTTTGGTGATCTTAACGATCCCCACTGGCTTTAAACCAGTCCCCTTTAAGTCGTATATGCATTGCAGATCACACCGGTCATTGCCTGTTCGCCTCTTTTCGAATCGATTCGGAGCAGTGAGGTGCCACCCACCCAAGTCAACTCACCCGCCTCTCCTCTCCAGCAAATCCACGCGGGCCAGACGCTCAACGACAACCAGTGGCACCGAGTGGCTGTCAAGCGGCGACACAGGGACATCGAAACCACCATCGACAACGAGCGCCCCCTGAACGGTGAGCTCCGTTGTCGTTACCCCCCCCCCCCCCCTCGGCGCACCAGCCATGCTCCCGCCACGCCCGAGCTGGCATGTCGGACAAGCTGGTAGCTATCGCTGAGGCTGGACTTCACAATCGGTGGCGAAAAGTACCGCCGGGTACCGTGCCTTGCGTTCACGGCTGTCGTGCCACTGATTTGCATGTGATGCGCTAAACTGGGCTGGGATGACTCATTAGGCCGCGCCGAAAGATTGCTCATAAACCCAGCCTGAGTGAGCCTGAATGAAGCATCCGGAGATGACGACATAAACGGTGGCATGGCCCGTAAAACGGCCAAAACGCTGGTGGCCGCGGGGGAAGTGGTCTGGTCCTTCTACTCGTCTGCACTCACCGTTTTCCTCTTACGATCTATACAGATTGAATAAATGACATGGTTTTATTATTAATTTATGGAATAGACTGGAGTGACTGCAAACATTTTCAAACGCCGATGATTAAGACAAGCATGGATTCAGAGTTGTCCCGCACGTAGATACATTGAATTGTATCGAAGGATCCATATTTTAAGGAAAATATATCATACCCATTCACCTACATTTATATTTTAGGTTCCACCGGGCTAATTAATCATGGATTGTCGCAAATTATATATATATATATATATATATATATATATATCGCATGGATTGTCGCAAATTACGATAAAAAGATGACTGGTAGGGATTGGACGGTATCTAATTTGGAGTTGCAGAAAAGGGAACTTGATGAACTGCTTAAATTTCGAACGGATTCGTCGATCGGATTCCAACGGACCGTATGAAGTTGATCTATAGAGGATTCAACCGCGTTCCCTCCTTCCTGATTTTCTCACCTCCGGTCATATGTAGGTCCTTTTTCTTCGCTTTTTGTCTTCTTTCTCTTCAGTTTTATCTTTCCTTTTTTTCTTTTCTTCCCCATGTTGTACCCTGCATGCATTTTATTTATGGCCATGTTCAATGCGTCTTTCTTCACCTCTGCTCTCCTTGTAACTACCTTCAAGTTAACAGCATATATACATGGACGCCTGCCGCTGCTTTCCCCGCCCAATGCGCGCCCCAGTTCCGCCGGAGGCTGAACGGTGGAGCACTTCCATCGCGTCGCGAGCCTCCAGCGGCGGCCATCTATCGCCGTTCGCGCCATCTCCCGCCCAGTGGTCGAGGCACGGCGTGAGCGGCGGCGCCCGGCTGGCCGGCACGTGCGCCTTCGACGGCAGGGCTTATCGCCTCGGTTTCGGCAAGTTTTCGGCGGCGTCCGGTAATCGGCCCCATGAATAAACCATGGCGGCCGGCCGGCGGTCCGCGTCGTCGTCTCCGGCGGCTTGCCGCCTTCCGCCGGCACGTATTCATCCGCCGCTCGCCCCCTCCCCCTCCCCCCACACATGCTCCTGGGGAGACGGCATTGTCGCGAAACCTCGGACACATTGTCAGCTAGCGGGCGTGCTGGATCGTAAATTACTTGGAGACGGCATGCCTCCCGGCGACGTTTCCGCTCGAGGTGTGCCGCGTTGTATGCTTGAGCTCCCTCACCGCGCCTGAACAATATGTCAGTCAGCGGGAACAAACGTCCGCTCGTGCGAGCCGACAGCCACGCGCGGCTTCCGCCTTTGTCAGCTGGCGCTGCAGCCCCGGTGACCTCAGGGCGGGACGGTCTGATCGGGGCGGCGTGCTCGGCGACACAACTTCTGCGGCGCCGCGAGACGTGGGCTTCGGCGAAGCTTCGGCAAAGCGCTGTGCTCGACCACACGGCCGCGCCAGAAGCACCCAGCTCGAACGCCGCGGTTTCCGCAAACGCCATGCAGACGTGCTCGCCGCCGCCGGGCGGGAATTAGCGCGGAAAGCGCCTTGTTCCGCGTGGTATGAGCGGTCGGCTCGCAGAAGCTGCTGTCGTCGGAATATGAGCCATACGAGAGCCATGATCGACGCAGGCACACGTGGCGACTTCGAACTCCGTGGTGACTTTGATGTGTGCCTCATAGTGTGCGTCAGCGGTGATCGAATCTCTAGCATGTTCGCATGTAGGTAGTAATTTTTATATTATATTATATGATATTATTTTATTATATTTTTATATTATATTAATGTTTCCACTGTCTTCCAAAGTGTGCCAGCCGACGCCGCCGCAGTCTTTCATCGATCAGGTGCCTGTTGGTTGTGTTCTCTTGGAGACCTATCCCCTCACGGGCTGGGGCATGAAAAAGAACTGAGCCCCCTGATTAACCTTTTCCCCTTCGAAAGAGTATCTGGAAGGTTGAATCCTGTGAAGTTAAGGTCTCCTCTCGCTTCCTCCCCCCCCCCCCCCCCCCCCCTCTTCCATGGACAGAGTGTCTGGAGGCGGGCGTTTCCTTCAGTTTCCGCTTCTCCTCAGTCTACAGGAGGGCGTCCTCGCCTCCCACCTCGCCTCCTACCGCGACCCTCACGCCCTCCGCCTCGTCACCTGCGATAGAGCGTCCGGATCCGCACGCTGAACCTCCGACCCTACTGAGTGGCAATTGCACTGACCTCTCCCCTCCCCGGCAGAGAACCTCGAGGCGGGCATCTCCACGTTGCGCACCAAGTTCCTCTACATCGGCGCCGTGTCGCCGTCGGCATCGGGCGCGTTCGGCGCCCCCAACCTAGTCGGCCAGCTGCAGCACTTCTACCTGAACGGGCAGCCGGTGCTGGAGCTGGTGCGCCAGGGCCGGCTCAACGACACGCAGGGCTCGGCGCGCTTCGGCCGGCGCCAGCTGACGCCGGTGCGGCCCGTCACCTTCCAGTCGCGCTACTCATTTGTGGCGCTGCGCCAGCTGCGCGCCTACGCGACGGTCAGCGTGCACTTCCAGTTCCGCACGCTGGAGCCCAGCGGCCTGCTGCTGTACAACGGCGGCAGCGGCCAGGACTTCCTCGCCGTCGAGCTGGTCGGCGGCCACCTGTTCTACGTGTTCAACCTGGGGGATGGCGCCGTCACGGTGCGCGACAACCGGCACAGCACGCTCAACGACAACAGCTGGCACTCGGTGACGATCGGCCGGCCCAACGCGCGCACGCACACGCTGATGGTGGACGAGCACACGGCCACCGTCAGCAGCATGGGCCTGAACGAGAACCTCGACCTGCAGGGTCCGCTCTACGTCGGTGAGGCCGGGCGCGCGCCGCGCCGGCACGCGGTGGGAGGCGGGCGAATGCCGATTGATTTCGAGGCGAGGGGATTAGGTTGTTTCATTTCGGTCGCGTCGCGTTCGGCGCGCGATCGATTGCATGGTCCGGACGCGACGGGTCGGGTAGACGACTGACCCGGGCGTGCTGAACATTCCGTATTTGATGAGGCGCGCGACGCTCCGCCTGCCGCAGCGCACGTGGGGCTCATCGCCACTAATAACGTTTGGCCGCGGCCTCGTCAACGGCCAGACGTCGGACGTTGGCATGTCGCCTCGAGTGTCGTGCGACGGCGACACTTGACTGGCCGCTGCCGGCGCCTCAGGCGGTGTTCCGGACGAGCTGTACGGCCGGCTGCCGGCCAAGATCCAGTCCCGGTTCGGCTACAAGGGCTGCCTGGCCAGCCTGCTGGTGGGCGGCGGCGAGACGCCCGACCTCGTGCGCTACCCGGTCATCCCCAGCAGCTCGGTGGTGGCCGGCTGCGTCGGTAAGTCCGCACTCCGGCGGTCCCTGAGCTCGGTGGTGGCCGGCTGCGTCGGTAAGTCCGGACTCTGGCAGTCCCTTGGCTTGGTGGTTGCGGGCTGCCACTGATTCGCAGTGAGGCCTTGACGTGGACCAATGGGGACGAAGCTTTAAGTGGATGACGCGGTTGATCTAACTACGTGGGGTGGAAAATTCCGTGCGTCCTTCCGCTCGCGCACTTCTCGGTGTAAAGATCTGTTATGCAACTTATCCGCGGATTTGCGAGATATGTCGGAAAGTCCGCTGCGGAGCGCCTGGTGGTCGGGAGTGCGGGGCAGAGGCGGCCTTCCGAGCACGGCACTGGAAGAACCTCGGATGGGCTCGTCATACGTTCCCCGGTTTCGCCTTCGCCTTCGCTATGCTGTGTTCCCCCGACAAGTGGCAATTCTGTAGGGGAGGAGGTAGTACTGAACACTCCAATTGCTGGTCCGCGCCTGAAGGAGGAGGTAGTACTGAACACTCCAATTGCCGGTCCGCGCCTGAAGGAGGAGGTAGTACTGAACACTCCAACTGCTGGTCCGCGCCTGAAGGAGGAGGTAGTACTGAACACTCCAATTGCTGGTCCGCGCCTGAAGGAGGAGGTAGTACTGAACACTCCAATTGCTGGTCCGCGCCTGAAGGAGGAGGTAGTACTGAACACTCCAATTGCCGGTCCGCGCCTGAAGGAGGAGGTAATACTGAATACTCCAATTACTGGTCTGCGCCTGAAAAAACAACTTGCTTGATTATGTTTGTGCGCTTGGTCGTTGCGGAGCCCTGTTTTCGGGCGTACTCACCTGTTCGGCACTCGAAAAGGCAATGGTCATTGCACCTAACAATTGCCTGTATCGACCAAACGTGACTGTTACCAGCGGATTACGCCTGCAGCTGTACCAGCGTTCTGGCACGCATACGTTTGTTTCATTGCGTGAAGGTCGCTTTATTACCATTGTATGTTGTCCTCAAAGAAAGCCGCTGCTAGAGGTATGTCCTTTGACATGCAACGACATGTCCAATGCAATCTGTGTTGTGTAAGCCTAGCATGAAACCTCGGTGCCGTCTCTTCCGTGCGAGTCCAAGTGACTTTAGACACCAAACCTGTGGGCTTTGATGGGTGTCCTGCGAGCTCGCGAAGACTAAGATCGGGACTTGTTTTGTCTTCTCGTCTAAAGTAGTGCACTTCTCCGATGCTCTCATTGTCAGCCCGCGACCTTTTACAACGTTCCAAATGTATTGATTCAGCAAGCTCGAGTTAAATCCATTCGGCACACGGCAAAAGTATTGTCCCGTTTGGTTTGGACAAAACGGGCGCAGAAGCGGTGGCAACACGCAGCAGTTAGTCTGGCGATGTGGGAGCTTAACTTGACTTGCTGATTTGTTGCTAGAATGTGTCAATGCCGGTGCTGGGGACGGGCGGGCTCTTGGGTTATCGGGCGCCACGGCTGGGTCACGGCGCGGATGTCTGAAGTCGGTATCCTAAATGGCTTGGAAATCATCATGTGCAGCCGCCACGTTTGTTTTTATGCATAGCTGCACTGAATAATGCGACGGAATGCAATGAGATAAGGCTTTACTCCCGCCTTTGAGAAGCTCCTTGTGAGCCCCGTACCACCGGCTGGGGCGGGTTTGTTCCATGGCTTCTGAGCAGCTGTACGCCGGCTGGGACTCCTGACGACTAGGACTCCTGTCTCCGCAGGGCCGGACTCGCGCTGTTCACCGGAATCGTGCAGGAACGGAGGCATCTGCAAGCAGGACTGGAACTCGTACACGTGCGACTGTACGCTCACGTCGTTCGTCGGGTCCCGCTGCACGGACGGTATGTCAGAGACTGGACCAGCGCGCGGCTTGACAGGGCGCACAGATCGACTGTAAGGTGCTGGAGCCCAGGCGACACTGGCTGCGGGATGGTGTGTCAAAGACTGTACGACTGGTAAAGCTGCGGCCGCCCGGGAAGCGTGCTACTCAACCAGGGGCATGCCAGTGGATGCACGGAGGCTTTGCCATTGCAGTAACAGTGATTAGATGTTGCCTGGCCCGTGGGAAAGTACATGAAGCGGGCTAAACGTAGTTCGACTACCCAACATTTTACATGGAATAACTTGACGGCCTGGGTGCACGTATGACAGAAAATTCAGCCTTTTGTGCCATTGTAACATCTTATCAAACGCTATGCGTCATCCAGCTCTCAGCTGGTGCCCCCGTGCGCGTTTGTTGTTCTCCGTCCCCACACTCGATGGGGCCAGACATTTCCCGTGCATTCTGGACGACCGATATCATCTAACCGTAATGCAACAGCTCAATCACTGCCTTCGTGGTAGCAGTGCGGCATGAACACCGCAGGCATATTCTCAAGCTGTTCGGTGCTCCGCGCTGGGCCAATCGCTACGGGGGGAGGGTGGGATCACCAGCTTGCTCCCACTTAAATCAGGTTTAAGTCTCGGATCTCTTCCTCCCCGCCATGCGGGCGAAGATCGTTGCCGTCTGTCTGGTGCGTCGGTGAGTTACGACTGTCGTTTCATGCAGCGCTTGGCCTATCTGGTTAGCGTTCCAAAGTTACGAGTGTCGTTACTCCAAGCGCGTGCCGTATCTGGTAGCGTTTTAAAACTACGAGGCCGATTCCTTCACTCACGCATCAACACCCCTCGTCGTTCCGAAACTTTGGCGACGATGGCGACGAACCCTTGCGGCGTGGCCAGAATGGTCGCCGTCTGTGCTTTGTAATGTGTGGACTTACGATAATGGCACGGGCTCATGTCCATTTTCGCGTTTGGCCGGGCCGTCGGGTGTGTACGCCCAGGCTGTTCATTGTCTTCGCTGCGCCTCGCGTTCGAAGAGGCGAGGTCAGTGAAAAGCTCCCCCTCCCCCTCCTCGCTCTCCATGTCTTGTGCGTTAAGGGAGCTTTTGTTTGCCCGAGCCGACTTTTTCGAGCAGTCGGTGGAGTTCAAATGTCATGTCCTTGGCATCCACTCCGGCGATTACCATACCCCACGCTTCCTCTCGCGGTTGGTATGCGGAAATACGCATGGGGAGTTTCACGCCAAGTGAGCTCGACCATCTGAATTTATCCGGTCCGTACGTTATTCGTCCCCCCTCCCCCCCCTCCCCCCCAGGTCCCCTTCACTCTCCTGCTGCAAAGGCACCGCTGTATGAAACTGAGTTCTGGGGAGGAGACAGAAAGTTTTGCATAGCAATTTTCTTGCGTTGTCAGTGCTTGTTAACGGATTTGTCTTGAGGCTCGACCCCCCGCCTGCTTGTTTTGGGCCGAGACAGACACGGAGATACCACGGAACTCCAAAACAACACGGACCTCCGAAACGACCCGGACCTCCAAAACGACACGGACCTCCACCCGTGCCTGCCCCGTCCGACAGAGTCGGTGAGCTACGAGTTCGGCTCGAGCGGCGGCCAGATCGAATACGAGTACGAGCGGGACCGGCGGCCGGACCGCCGCACCGACCTGGTCGCCGTCGGCTTCAGCACCTCCAAACCGGACGGCACCCTGCTCCGCATCGACTCCGAGACGCACGACGACTTCCTCGAGATCAAACTGGTCGGTCACGCTGCGCGCGCGGGCGCGGGGAGAGGGACGGGTCTGCCGCGCAGCAGCGTTACCTGGCAAGCTCTTGAGGAGTTTGTGTTTACTTGTGACGGGTCTGCGAAAAAGGAAGGAAAAATGGTGTCTTTGTAGCTCGGTGAAACGGTGTTACTGAAGAGAGCATCCGACCACGTAATTCCCATCTTTAAACTCGCTTTCCTGGTGAGCGACGCCTGATAAAGCGACGGCCAGAAACTAAAGAGAACAACCTCCTGCTGCCCTCCGACAGATCGAGAGCAACGTTTACATGGTATACGACGTGGGTTCGGACACCCTCTCGATATCCGACTTGGGGGTCCGCGTGGACGACGGACGATATCACGTGGTGCGTGTCACCCGCAACGGCCCCAACTCTACCCTGCAGCTCGACAGCCGTCCCGTACAGACGAAACACCCACGAGGTCAGTGCCGGAGCTGCTGGGCAATCTCCTTAGCGGAGGTGCTTCCGCCACGGAGCGGGTGAAACAGGGGGCCACGTGTTTGAGCCCTGCCGATTCCAGGCACGTTGTGCGCTCTAATTGGACGGCTGGGGAAAGGCTTTGGAGTAAGACCCACGCGGTGGGATTGTGTCTCCTCCGTTGAACTGGGGTCGGCGCCCGGGATATTTTTAACGCAATGAAGCACTTTTCACGCCAGCCTTGGGCAGGGGCGGCGTAGCAGGGGGCAGGGGGAGGGAGGGGCAGTACGCCATGGTAATTAGGGGGCCATACCTCCCGGTGGCGGGGCGAGAGTATATTTTTGCCCCCCCCAAAAAAAAATTGGAGGACCTTTTTCCCAAAATGAAACCATCGATTACCCGAAGGTTACAGAAATTCAGATCGACGAAACCCCATAAATGAGCTATAATAATAAATCGGGCTCAGCAGATCCTTTTCTACAGCAAGAGACCGTTCTCTTGACCATGAAGCTGGCTTTATGAATAATATAGCACATTTTCTAGATCAGGAGGCCCGTGTTGTGTTCAGGAGGTTCCTTCACTGGCTCGGGAGGCCACCGTTATAGAATAGGAGGCCTCGTTCTGGGTAAGAAGGTACTCCCTATATTCAGGAGACCCATTTCTGGAGGTGGGGTCCATTAAATGCGCCAGATGGCAGGATACCCTGTTTTGTCATAACGGGCTCCGTGGTAGGATTCGAAGGCCCCTTCGTGAATAGGAAGCACCTTATTCTGAACTAGGAGGCCCCTGCTTGCGTCAGGAGGCAAGCAGAGGCCGTTTTCAAGCTACTGAGGCCCGTTGCTTGATAATAAAAAGGCCGGATTCTGTTCTTTCAACATTTATTTAGCTGCGAATGACGCATATAATGGTTTGATGAAGGAGGACATCCCTCAGCACCCTGCCCTCTGGCATATGGCACTACTCAGGAGGCCACCCTGTGAGGAGGCCCCATTTCGTCCAGGAAGCCCCCCCCCCCCCGAAGATCCTGCCTCCCTCCCCCCCCCCCCGGACAACTCAAAGCCCATGGCGCCGCCCCTGGCCTTGGATGGTGCGGTCACAGCAGCCTGTGCGTTGTGGGTGCGTGCAACCTGAGTGTTGCAGATATTAGTGTTCGTCTCTGTCGGTAGTGCATGTAAGGAAGATCTAGACCAGGTGGTTAACGTGCTGTGTTTAAGAATGCTGATAGGTGTAAGAAAGCGGGGTAGGCCGGCACCGACAGGACCAGTGACGTCATGTCGGCCCAGGAATGCTACTGCGGTTAGCAGATCAGTGCGTGCTTTAGCCATGTGTTCTAGTGGTTTTTGGTGCTAGATCCTGATTCCCGAGCATTTCCCAACACGGGGTGAGCTCCTTCTCTTCCCCATGAGCTCACCAAAGCTTGTTACACGGGTTGAAATCCGGTCAACGCAGGGATATGATTATGCGTTGCATAAGGCTATCCCGCTTACAATCACAGCACGTTTGCTGACTAAATGGCAGAACATGGAGCACGCCGAGGCGCACGGTCGGCTCATAGGTAGCAGACTAAGCTGCAGGCTTTTTACACACGCTCAGGCGACGGTAAATTTGATCCCTCCTCCGAGGTGTTTTTTCGGAATTATTTCCGAACGGCGAGCATAGCTGTAGATAATTAAATAGCGGATCGTTTGACATCAAAACTTAAGATGTACCCGGTGAGGCTGCTGGCCTACGGCAGGTCAGAGTCAGGCCATAAATTCAACGAAGACAATTCCTAGGGAATCATTTGATCTGATGCAACAACGGAGTGTTCGACGAAACCATGCATCTCTGACATAGTTTCTCAGGCAATACAGCAACTGAATTAACAATTTCCATTGACCTAGAGTCAAGTACGAAAGTCAGACCAAGATCAAAACCAACCAGTTTTATTACTCAAAAGCTTGCTGTATAGGGTGGTTTCTGGTGCTCATTCTTAATTTGTTGACTACCGGAACTGCATAATACATCGTCCATAGAGTTCTTCAAGATCAGAATAGGTCACTGACCTAAAATGACCCGGGTCAAAACGTCATTTGAAGGGCATACCACCTAGCATAATCCGTTGACGCTTATTCAAAGACAGAAATCAAAGCGGTCTTGTAGCACTTGGATCCCATGACCTTCGAGAGGTAAAACAAGGTCACTGACCTTAAATGAGCACAAGTGACCTTTTGCTCAGAACAGGTATCTGGGTTCACGGTGGTTGCATGGGGCCAGGAAAGACTTAGCTTTGCTTTGGACGGGATAACGGCTGCTCGAGACATAGCTTTTCTTTTCATCTCAAAGGCAGATAAAGGCACCTTCATATGATCTGGGAGCACTTTGGACACCAACCTGGAGTTCAACCTTGTTTGACCTTATTTGACCCGAAGGTCATTCATTACCTTGGAACCTCAAATGCAAACACAAGTCAGTTCACTTGCAGGCCAACACACCCTGTGAATTTGATGCCTCTAGCTTTCTAAGTTTCTGAGATCTCTACGGGGCCAAATTGACCCCCATCCGCGCGAATGACATTCAACCGGCCACCCGCGCATGTCAGTAAAAGGGAGTATCCCACCTTTTTGTACTTTTTTTTTTGCTTATTTGTACATAGGACACGTGCCATTTGATCAGTAATACAAGTTTTCTCGAAATCGTTCCAAAAGCTTAGAATTTCAATCTGAAGTAGACAACCTTGCGGGAGAAACCACATTGACTCTGATCACCACTATGAAAGCGATACACTTCATTTGCACGGCTTTTTCCCAACGTCTGTGTTATGTAATGTTTGCAACACACTTTGTATCGAAATGTGGTGTAAAAAATTATACGAAGGCTTGAAAAACTTAGCTTCGACTGAAAGATATGCAGCATCAAGCCATTATCCCGCGAATTCAACGAAATGCCATACTACGGCTTTGATTTCTCTCCCATGACCTTTACCACAGTGGCTCTTGTGCGCTTTGTGCACAAGAGTGTCGGGTCTAACTGCGCTTGGGCCTTTGGAAATGAGAGTATCATATGATCCATGTGAACCACTACTGCAAACTTCAACTAATACGCTTCTCGGTAACAGATATTTGCTGGGCGGGTCAGTCACAAACGTTCTTTCATTCCCGGCAGAAGAGGCGCGGTCGCGACCGCTGGGAAAAAGCATAGTGCTGTTTCAAAGCGTTGACAACGTAATTTGGACTAGAAAACAATTGAAATTGAGATTGTTATTATGTCTTGCCGGTGCCGCAGTGGCACTACCCGTTGCAATTTTTAGAGATAACTGGTCCTCATGTTTTACTAAGGCATGTTTTTTTTTTAAGTATGTTACCAAGGTGGGACACTCTTTTAATGCGGGGCAGTCGGATTCCACCCGAAATGAACCAAAATTGCGTGGAGCCAGCTGTGGAATCGGCTCCTTTCGACTTTTTTACGGGTCAGATTCGGTGTTAATCAGCCAAGTCCTCAGTAAATCGACTCGAACAGGTATCAAGTTGGGGTAACTTGGTGTTTGGCTCGTAGTGCGCCTAAATAGGCCGTATGAAGGGTATGTGGCTGTTTCCTGATAGAAATGCGTGTCTTTTTAGGTTTGATGATACTCAAACGATGTAATATTTCCATGAGTTGGAATGGGAGCTGATTCGAGTTGTTTTGTGCCATTCGGAGTTCAGAAGTGGAAGAGATCCTATGCGCTGGCAGCCGGAGTCGGTGTCGATTCCACTACAGAGGAATCGCCACAAGTCTGGTCTAAAGGGAGCGAGTAGCTTCCAGAATGCAGCTCACTATCCGGCAGTTCCCACCCCGCTGGCTGTCCACCGCCACCGCTGTATGGTCGGTGGCCCGCGAGCCGTGAGCTGCGGGTGCAGACTGTGAATGGTGACCCGACGCTTTCAGAGTTGCTGTCCCAGCGCCGGAGGCGTCGTCGCTCAGGTGGTGAGACGTCACCTGACTTCTGCCGCAGGGCCTCGCGCACCAGCACCACTTTCTCCCCCCTGTCGCCCTCTTTCTCTCTCTCTCTATCTCCCTCTCTCTCCCCTCTCTCTCTCTCTCTCTCTCTCTCTCTCTCTCTCTCTCTCTCTCTCTCTCTCTCTCTCTCTCTCTCTCTCTCTCTCTCTCTCTCTCTCTCTCTCTCTCTCTTCTCTCTCTCTCTCTCTCTCTCTCTTCTCTCTCTCTCTCTCTCTCTCTCTCTCTCTCTCTCTCTCTCTCTCTCTCTCTCTCTCTCTCTCTCTCTCTCTCTCTCTCCCTCCCTCCCTCCCTCCCTCCCTCCCTCCCTCCCTCCCTCCCTCCCTCCCTCCCTCCCCTCCCTCCCTACCCCTCCCTCGCACAGCACTCGCGCACCTCGAGCTACTGCTGCACCGCCGCCACTGCACTCTCATCACGTCCAACGCGCAGTGTCGCAGCTGTTTGAATCGATGCACCTCACGCCGTTTTGGCCCTCGCACCTTCGGACGTCCCGAGATGCTGTCGTTGGAGCGGACTGAGTGCGGGCTGGGGTGCGGGTTTCTCGAATCCGCCGTCATCGTCGACGATTAATGTGTTTACTCGAAGTGTTCTGGATCAGGTCACTGAAAGTGGCCGAAATATGTTGCTGAAATGACTTGTTCAAGCGCAGCGGGTTGTGAAACCAGAGCGCAATTGTTCTGATAACCACCGGGCACTTCGTCGTTGCGTAATTCAGTTGAACCATCCTAAGAAATATGATTACTTGAACATATGCATGTTGTACGCTAGAAATGTGTTCGGCAGTTGCTTTTAGGCACTGGTGTCTAGTCGTAGTGCAGTGTGCATGCACACCTACTGTTGTTCTGCGTACTATTGCCTTGAACTTATCAGATCGCGCAGTCTTCAATCATACAGATCACATACCAGGTTTGAGCGGTGGCGGGTTCATGCGACTTAATATGTCAGCTTTGATTGCAATGCAAAATAATGCAGTTACATCCAAACACAGTTTTCAAAAAATTGAGTTCTGGACAACTTCCTTGACTAATTTACCCACCCGTTTGTTGTGTATCCCGCGATTGCTTCGTTTCCTTACCCGCTTCCCAGGAGTTTCGAGCTCGGAGAGAGCATCACGACCTTTGATAGCGGTGTCGCTAACAGCTCTCACGGTTTACACAGAGAGCAGCACTCTATCGCCGTGACCGCCCGTCGGCTAGCGCTCTCGTCCACACCCGCAGGCTCCGGCTCAACAACTCCCCCCCCCCCCCTCCACCCCCGCCCTCCCGCGTCCGGAGGTGATTCGAGCGCCGAACCCTGACCCCGGCCCCACCTCAGGTCATCAGCACGACGTTTTCCACGCGCCGTCGCTGGTGACGGTGGGCGGCGGCCGCGGCGGTCGCGGCGGCGGCGCGCGCCGCTTCGAGGGCTTCATCTCCGGCGTGGTCGTCAACGGCCACCGCGTGCTCGACTTGGCCGCCGACAACGACGAAGACGTGCGCATGGGCGGCGAGCTGAGCATCCGGGCGCTGCCCTCCAGGCTCAAGAAGGAGTACTTCCGGCGCAGCGGCGTGCAGGCGGTGAGTGGGCGGCCTCGCACCCGGCCAACGCGCGCCCGAACGGGAGCGTGGTGGTGCCGGGCGCGTTGAATGTGGCATGCGATTGGCGTCATTGGCCATCCTTCCCCATTTTGGCTCACGGACGAGGCAGGGGAGGAAGGGATGACCGAGGGGCGTGTGCAAGTTTGATGAGAGCCGCGGGTCTGGACGGACGGTCCTGTTAATTACTCAGCTGCTTTAGACGTTGTGACGCTGACGTTTTGCGAGCCTCCAGTCACGCGATAGGGATGGGCGGTTTGGATCAGAGCGCTGTCGGCCAGTCGTGGCCATTTCAGGACTATGGGATGACGGAGAATGGATAAGGGTGCGGTTGGATTGCATACACCTGGGGACCCATCCGCCGGGGTTTGCCCGTACAGAAGCTCCTCTGCGGGGTGTGCACTCGGCACTCGGACCAGGTGGCACTTCGGCCCACTCATGGCTGGCGCACGCAGCCTGCCCCACGGGGCGTCGCGAGGAGACGGGATGCAGGAAGAAAGAGGGTGGGAAGAAGGATGGGCACGTGATATCCTCCAAGGCGTCTCAGGCCCGTCACTAGACTGTGCTGTCCTGAGTCTACGTTCCCTCCCTTCCAGTCGCAGTATTAGTACTATTGGAATCAGCGAGATGTTAACACTGTGCTGGGCGGAGAGGAGCATTTAGCTACCCAGCATGTTCTCATTTAGAAGCCATGTGTCATGTGTGTGTGTGTGTGATTACTGTCTCTTGTAATTTCGTAAGATGTTTCTTCCACCATGTATCCGGGCAATCGGTTGGGTCCTAGCGACCGGAATATGCAGCTGGAGTTCTTCTGTCTGTCACCAGGCGGCAGGCATACCAGGACCGTCTCCGGGCATTAACGACGACCTGATTTACTCCGGCGCCGGGTCCGGCTGCGGCGAGACCGACGACCAGGAGCAGTGCTTCCCCGTCTTCAACTCGGACACAAGTCAGTCGACACCCATCGCGGCCAGGCGACAGCTGGCGGCGGTCCCACCGCGGCCAAGCAGCAGCTGACCGCTGCCAAAAGTTCGGCCCGTTGTACGGTCGCAACTTCTCACTCTGTTTGCAAGACGGGCCAGTCAGAGCGGAACTGGGGTGGGACAGGGCGGGGCTGGTGCGCTTTGTTTCGGTAGGTCGCTTTGCCTGGCCGTCCACAGACCGTCCAAAATCTGAACTCGTTCTCAGTATTCCAGGCACAACGCAATGTTCATTCCGCCACTGGCCGTGTGACTCACGTCGTAAACTGAGCCTGAACAGGCTGTCATTGCGGTGGTTGGCTAGCTTCCGAGCTCTAGTCACCTACACAGCTGTTAAATTCTCACGGACCTGCGTATAAATGGCCACGCGTCCGAACCGTCCTCTTCAGCTCGGATCCGCTGCGACTCAGATCGCCGCCTGCTGACGGACACACACCGACCGGCAGACGCCTGCTGACGGACACAAACACCGGACCGGCAGGACGCCTATGCCCTGAGGACACCACCGACCGGCAGCCGCCTGCTGACGGACACACACCGACCGGCAAGGACGCCTGCTGACGGACACACACCGACGGCAGCGACGCCTGCTCGCGCGGACACACACTGGCAGGACCGTTCGCGCGCGGACACCACACCGACCGGCAGACGCCTGCTGACGGACACACACCGACCGGCAGACGCCTGCTGACGGACACACCACCGACCGGCAGGACGCCTGCTGACGGACACACACCGACCGGCAGGACGCCTGCTGACGGACACACACCGACCGGCAGACGTCTGCTGACGGACCACACACCGGACCGGCAGACGCCTGCTGACGGACACACACGACCGGCAGGACGCCTGCTGACGGACACACACCGACCGGCAGACGCCTGCTGACGGACACACACCGACCGGCAGACGCCTGCTGACGGACACACACCGACCGGCAGACGCCTGCTGACGGACACACACCGACCGGCAGACGCCTGCTGACGGACAAACCCCGACCGGCAGACGCCTGCTGACGGGAACACACACCGACCGGCAGACGCCTGCTGATGACGGACACACACCGACCGGCAGACGCCTGATGACGGACACACACCGACCGGCAGACGCCTGCTCGCGGACACACACTGACCGGCAGACGCCTGCTGACGGACACACACCGACCGGCAGACGCCTGCTGACGGACACACACCGACCGGCAGACGCCTGCTCGCGGACACACACTGACCGGCAGACGCCTGCTGACGGACACACACCGACCGGCAGACGCCTGCTGACGGACACACACCGACCGGCAGACGCCTGCTGACGGACACACACCGACCGGCAGACGCCTGCTGACGGACACACACCGACCGGCAGACGCCTGCTGACGGACACACACTGACCGGCAGACGCCTGCCCGCGGGCACACACAGACCGGCAGACGCCTGCTGACGGACACTTACCGACCGGCAGACGCCTGCCCGCGGGCACACACCGACCGGCAGACGCCTGCTGACGGACACACACCGACCGGCAGACGCCTGCTCGCGGACACGCACCGACCGGCAGACGCCTGCTCGCGGGCACACACCGACCGGCAGACGCCTGCTGACGGACACACACCGACCGGCAGACGCCTGCTGACGGACACACACCGACCGGCAGACGCCTGCTGACGGACACACACCGACCGGCAGACGCCTGCTGACGGACACACACCGACCGGCAGACGCCTGCTCGCGGACACACACCGACCGGCAGACGCCTGCTCGCGGGCACACACCGACCGGCAGACGCCTGCTGACGGACACACACCGACCGGCAGACGCCTGCTGACGGACACACACCGACCGGCAGACGCCTGCTGACGGACACACACCGACCGGCAGACGCCTGCTGACGGACACACACCGACCGGCAGACGCCTGCCCGCGGACACACACCGACCGGCAGACGCCTGCTCGCGGGCACACACCGACCGGCAGACGTCTGCTGACGGACACACACCGACCGGCAGACGCCTGCTCGCGGACACACACCGACCGGCAGACGTCTGCTGACGGACACACACCGACCGGCAGACGCCTGCTGACGGGCACACACCGACCGGCAGACGCCTGCTCGCGGGCACACACTGGCAGACGTCCGCGCGCGGACACACTGACCGGCAGAAGCCTGCTCGCGGACACACACTGGCAGACGTCCGCGCGCGGACACACCGACCGGCAGACGCCTGCTCGCGGGCACACACTGGCAGACGTCCGCGTGCGGACACACCGACCGGCAGACGCCTGCTCGCGGGCACACACTGGCAGACGTCCGCGCGCGGACACACCGACCGGCAGACGCCTGCTCGCGGACACACACCAGCGGACGCCTGCTCGCGGACACACACCGACCGGCAGACGCCTGCTCGCGGGCACACACTGGCAGACGTCCGCGCGCGGACACACTGACCGGCAGAAACCTGCTCGCGGACACACACCAGCGGACGCCTGCTCGCGGACACACACCGACCGGCAAACGCCTGCTCGCGGGCACACACTGGCAGACGTCCGCGCGCGGACACACCGACCGGCAGACGCCTGCTCGCGGGCACACACTGGCAGACGTCCACGCGCGGACACACCGACCGGCAGACGCCTGCTCGCGGGCACACACTGGCAGACGTGCCGCGCGCGGGACCCCCCCAACCACCGTGCAGACGCCTGCTCGCGGACACACACCGACCGGCGGACGCCTGCTCGCGGACACACACCGACCGGCAGACGCCTGCTCGCGGGCACACACTGGCAGACGTCCGCGCGCGGACACACCGACCGGCAGACGCCTGCTCGCGGACACACACCAGCGGACGCCTGCTTGCGGACACACACCGACCGGCAGACGTCTGCTCGCGGACACACACCGACCGGCAGACGCCTGCTCGCGGACACACACCGACCGGCAGACGCCTGCTCGCGGGCACACACTGGCAGACGTCCGCGCGCGGACACACTGACCGGCAGAAGCCTGCTCGCGGACACACACCAGCGGACGCCTGCTTGCGGACACACACCGACCGGCAGACGTCTGCTCGCGGACACACACGGACCGGCAGACACCGACTGCGGACACACACCAGCGGACGCCTGCTCGCGGACACACACCGACCGGCAAACGCCTGCTCGCGGGCACACACTGGCAGACGCCCGCGCGCGGACACACACCAGCGGACGCCTGCTCGCGGACACACACCGAACGGCAGACGCCTGGCCTTGATCTCACTCATCACCCGAGGGCGCACGAGCGGCGGGCAGCGCGAGCGATGCACAGTGAGGCCTCGTTCGATCGCGACGGTTGTGACCGTCCGGCCGGCCCGGGCGGTCAGAATGACCGGGAGCGAGCCGGCCTGGTGTCGAGCGTCCGCGGGTCCGATCTAATATACGGGAAGTCATTAGGGGCATGTCGGTCGACGCAGGCCACGAACCCGCTCCAGTTATTAGGAGGGGCGGCGCTCGGGAAGACCAGCCACTTCATGGCCGCTGGGTTATTGGCGGCTGTCCACCTCTGGTCCGGCTCCGTGTTTCCAATTTACGTGAGAGGGCCGAGCCCGAGGCTGATGCGACAAATTGAGTCACGCTGCACGCAATTACCGGCTTTTGAAATGCACTTGATGTCCAAATGAAGTCATCGTCCACAGACTTCCGGGACCGTAGACAATGCCACCGTCGAAGTACTTGTCCAGCACCAACCTCACGTTTGACAACAGCTGAATGCAACGCCCAAAACGAACACGCTACAGCCCTGGTTGGCTGATGCTCCCGTCATTTATGCTTTGGCCCTGACCTCCCCCGCCCCGTGACCTCAGATGATGACCTGGTGACCCCGGTGTTCATTCGACCGACCAACCCGCCCCGGCCGCGGCGGCCCGGCCACGGCAAGCCGTGTGACGACGAGGACTGTCTGCCCGGGTCGGGTCACGCTCCGGACGACGATCTCTCGCGACACCGAGGTCAGCCCACGGCGGCCGGTGTGTGACCCGGCTCCCAGGCCGGCTGCAACGGCTGACTGGCCGTGAAAGGGATGAGTGTGTGTGTGTGTGTGTGTGTGTGTGTGTGTGTGTGTGTGTGTGTGTGTGTGTGTGTGTGTGTGTGTGTGTGTGTGTGTGTGTGTGTGTGTGTGTGTGTGTGTGATGTGCGCGCGCGCGCGCGTGTGTGTGTGTGTGTGTGTGTGTGTGTGCGCGTGTGTGTATGTGTGTGTGTGCGTGCGTGCGTGCGTGCGTGCGTGCGTGCGTGCGTGCGTGCGTGCGTGCGTGCGTGCGTGCGTGCGTGCGTGCGTGCGTGCGTGCGCGCGTGCGTGTGAGCGCGCGTGTGTGCGGCATGCTTTCTTGGGCCATGTGCAGAGTGTATTTTTTAACGTGTCTTGGCTTCTAACTTTGACACCAGAATTTTCAGAACGCGTTTGTATTGGAACGTTTTACTTTCCAACCCAACAACTTGCAGTGGACGTTGTTATCTGACGCTGTCTGCGTTCTCGGGGATCGCGTAAGAAGATGCAGTGAACAGGCTTATATTATCGGTCACGTCGTTTTGACCGTCGCTGCCGGCGAGTGCTCTAACCGACCCCCCTTGCAGGCCCGGATCGCCCCTCGCCGCGCACCACCACGACCACAACCACCACGACCACGACCACCACGCGGCGCACCACCCCGCGCGCCACGTGGCGGGCGGCGCCGACGGCGCGGCGGCGGCCGGACCAGCGGCGCACCACGGCGCGCAGCACGCCTCCGTGGCGGGTGCTGACCACGCCCATGATGCCGCGCTGGTCGGGCGACCGTCGGCTGCCGCCGGCGCCGGCGCCGCGCCCGTCGGCCGGCCCTCCGCTGCCGACGCCCAACCGCTCGGCCGAGGACCCGGGCGAGTACGTGGCCATGATCATCGGCATCATCGCCGGCGCGCTCATCGTCATCATCGTCTGTATCCTGATCGTGTTGAAGGTGCAGGGGCGCGCCGAGCGCCGCTACAAGATGGACGAGAGTAAGGCGTACCTGGGCGCGCGTGGCAGCTCGCCGACGCCGCCGCTGCTGGCCGGCGGGCCGACCGAACTGAGCGGCGCACCGCCGCCCTTCGCGCCGCGGCCGCCCAAGCCCAAGAAAAACAGAGACGTGAAGGAGTGGTACGTGTAAGCCGCGCCGTCGGCCGTTAGTGATATTCCTCGTTGTTCTGCGCGCGGCGGCGGACGGCGCGCGCCCTGATAGAGCAGTCTCCGGTCTTGGTGTACCCGAATACCGTTCAGTGTTATCGTGTCTCGCTTTTATAAGATGATTTCATACGTGACGTTTTGATTTCGCGGCGCGGCCGGCGGGCGGCCGCCCGCCGCAAACCAATCAAACCGTTTCTCATTGGGCGCCCGTCCCCGCGGCGCCGGCGCTCGGTCTGCGTGAGAGGTTTGTGTGGGTGTGTCTGTCAGCCCCAGTGTTGCGGCCCGGTCGTTGGCGGCGATGGCCGGTCCCGCGTTCCGTTCCGGTCGCGGGCCACGCGGCGAAACTGTTCGCTCCAAGTCTATATAGTATTCCTGTGCTTGCGGTATATCATCTCCGAGTTTGCTCACGCTTACTCGGCGCGGTACGATAATAAACACTCCATATCGGCGAGGCCACGTTTTGTTGATCGCCGCCAGCTCGGTTGCGTCGAGTGCCGGGATTCTGTGCTGCGCGGATAGCAAGTATCGCACGCAGTGAGAGCCGGCCGAGGAGTATCGGCAACAGCAGTAACGAAGACCAAGTTGGTCCACCCAAGACTTAGGCCGACTTCAGCGAAGAGCAATCCCAGCCGAAGAATTGCCAGGACACTCATATAGGCGTTATTTTGAGCCCGCTAACGCGATAAGTCTAGTTTTAACGTCATAGAGATAAACACGCTATTTTGCAGAAATGACGGCTTGGGCGGAAAAGAGGCTTTCAGGCATTGAGAAAGTCTTGATGGAGTAGTTGTACCCCCATTGTTCGTCGTGCGGCATCTTGATATGTCAGCCAAGCCCACGAACACGCGGTATCTAGACCCCACTGCATACTGGGCAGCGACGCCACCAGCTACGCTGAGCGCAAACCTTGGTGGCCTCGAGTGCAGCACACCGTGTATCTCCGGCAGTCCGGCACCGTCTGCCTGCCGTCACCAGCACTCGGCGACGGACCTTCGCGCTCCGCCGGCCGCGGCCTACTCGTGACCGGCCGCCTCCGCGGCGTCGTCGTCGCCGGCGGCGGCGGCCAGACCGCAGAGCCGCTCGCTCTCCTCCCAGAGGCGGCGGCCCAGCAGCAGGGCTGTAGCCGAGCCGGTGCGGTGTCGTCTCGGCGCAGTCCCTGGAACAGCGGCGCAGGCATCAGCGCTGTCCCGATGACAAAGCAGAGGGAGGGAGGACGGAGACGATGTGCCGCGTCTGTGGCGGAGGGCGGCGGAGGGACAGGACAGAGAAGGGCGGCGGAGGGACAGGACAGAGGAGGGCGGCGGAGGGACAGGACAGAGAAGGGCGGCGGAGGGACAGGACAGAGGAGGGCGGCAAAGGAAGAGGATAGAGGAGGGCGGCGGAGGGACAGGACAGAGGAGGGCGGCGGAGGGACAGGACAGAGGAGCACGGCGAAGGAAGAGGATAGAGGAGGGCGGCGGAGGGGCAGGACAGAGGAGGGCGGCGGAGGGGCAGGACAGAGGAGGGCGGTGGACGGACACGACAGAGGAGGACGGCGGAGGGACAAGACAGAGTTTGCAGCAGGGGTAGGTAATGCGAGATTAACATCACGGCGGAGTACGCCGCTCAGGACCGGACGAAATTGGTGAGAACTTGTTAGTTACATCTGGGTGTATGCCACCTGCGTGCGAGTAGTTTAACTAACGAGGGCTTAATTAATCTCCTGATTACCAACTGATATATGTAAGTCAGCTCGCAAAATAAAGGGAGGAAATATTCCTGTCTATGACAGGACGTGGCATTGTCACACTACTGCTCATATTACCACTAGAAGTAGTAGCAAATGTTCACATCAAAAGACGAAGACACTGAACCTTGGGATCGCCGGCGTGACCAATTCTGCGCGATTTGACACTTCCGCTTCCCCTGCCCTGCCCTCTCCCGCCGGCTCTCACGCGTAGTATCGGCCCGAGACGTGGGCGAAGGCGGGGTCGGCGGCCAGCATGACGCTGGTTTGGGCGCCCTGCTCGGCCGTCTTGTGCGTACTCCACAGGTACAGCCACTTGAGCCGCCGCAGCACGACGCCGGTGGCCACGTGCGCTATCAGCTCCGTCTTCACGCAGCCCGGGTGCAGACTGTGCGCCGTCACCCGCGTGTCTGTGGGGGCCAGTGGCGGGAGCGGTGATAGAGCTACGACACGTCAACTCATCGGCGTACTTTTTATAGGGGGAGGATGTACGCCCAAGTTCAAATGTTGGTGAGGACGGTCCGGATGGGCCGCGTTTCTTATCCCGCCACTCAGAAGCGTCGCTGTGGGCTGTATGGTGCTGCGTGAAACCCAGCTCCGGCCTAAGCCGTTCAACAATTATTTAATGCGAGAGAGAGAGAGAGAGAGAGAGAGAGAGAGAGGAGAGAGATGAGAGAGAGAGAGAGAGAGAGAGAGAGAGAGAGAGGAGAGAGAGAGAGAGAGAGAGAGAGAGAGAGAGAGAGAGAGAGAGAGGGATGCATATATATATATATATATATATATATATATATATATATATATATATATATATATATATATATATACATAGGATTTACGTGGCCAGAATAGCTGGTTAGAAAACTCCGCCAAGATCTGTCTGTCGACATGAATTTCCCTAGAAAGTCCTGAGAGACCGTTTGCGGTCGTAAAACCGCTCACGTATTCCTCTCCTCCCGTCGTTGAGCGCCCCTCCCCATCCGGTCACGTCCTCCGAGGACTGCGGGCCGGTTCATGGCGAGTCAACTCACGCGCCAGGCGTCTGCTGAGCTCAGAGGCGAAGGCGATGTTCATCAGCTTGGTGTTGCTGTACTGAGACGAGCTGTTGAACGTTTCCTCTCCGTTTAGGTTGGCGAAGTTGATGCCGTTCGCTGCGGCAGGAGACCGGGTCAGCTGACGCCGGGTGTGTGGCCCCATGCGCTGCGTAGTATCCGTCAAGGAACCACATGATCATAGGACATGTGTAGCGCCCTCGCATTGTGTTCACTCGCGTGGACACACTCATAAGGAGTGTACACATAAATGCTGACGAAGTGGTAGCTGGAGCACGTGATTTTCTTGAGATGTATGCGTTGTTTGAAATAGTTCTTTTCACTGAACTTAAGAGTGGACTTCACCTAATGTATCAAATGTCTGCAGGGTAATCTTTTGTGTAACAAAAACAATATACGTGACATGTCGTGATATGGAACGCAATATGTGAAAGGCAGCAGAGCCGATTACTGAAGTAGTTGGCCATGGAAGAAACGTTGATGATTCGTCCCTGAGGTGCAGCCTTCAGCTTGTCCAGAAGAAGAATGGTGAGCAGGAATGGCGCCAGGTGATTGACCTGGAACGCCAGCTCAAACCCATCCTCAGTCTTCTCAAATGGCCTCCACATTACACCTGTAGAAAAGAGCAGATTGAAGTTGGTGAATCGGGGCAGTGCCGTAGGGCTTCGAAGGAAATGTGAAACATGAAATAAGGTTGGGGATAGGCACAAGCTTTAGGCTGCACGGTGCAACGTGTGTTCTTGCGGGCATCAAGGTGCAAAAGACGTTGCGGCCATCGCGCAATGTAGTGCTGCACCTCACATACGGCCAACACGAGCGCGGGCGTAACCAATGTAACTACGGTCGGTGGGACCTCGCCCCCAGTGGCCCTGGGACGGATTGGACTGTCTCTAGGCGTTCGCAATAGATAGTAGCACCAAAACAGCAATAGACATATCCAGTAGCATCCACGGCCTGGTCGCATCCATGAGCACGCACACACATGTCCGAGTAACTTGAGAAATCGTTCTCGGTACTCAGCACCACGAAAAGCCGCCTAGGAGATACTGGATGCTGGCGTTCCTTGTTTACCAGCATTGTTGATGAGCACGTCAAGACTCTGCTCTGTGTGGTTGAAGTCCTTGACGAATTCCCGTACGGAGTTCAGCGACGTCAGATCCAGACGCTTCACACTGAGGCTCCCACCGGTAGGTGGCAGACCTAGCCTGATCCCATTCGCAGCCACACGGCCCTGCGGAAGCAGACCTGGCATCACAACCGACGAAAGCACGGCAGCCACAGGCATTTACCGGCACCACGACCTTTCCGCCCCCCCCCCCCCGTGCACCACTCGGCGTGACGTCACCGATTTCTGCCCTCGCCTGACCTTGCTGACGTCGCGGCAGGCCAGGACGACCCTGGCGCCGCGGCGGTACAGCTGGCGCGCCGTCTCCTGGCCGATGCCGCCGCTGGCGCCCGTCACCAGCACCGTGCGGCCGTCCAGTCGCGCCTCCGAGAAGTAGCGGCCGCCGGCGAGGTAGCGGCGCAGGACGAGCAGAGCCGTGCCGAGCAGCACGGCCGGGACCGGCGGCCAGGAGAACAGCAGTAGCATCACCACTGCCGACACGCGGCAGAGAAGGGTGGGGACGGGAACATAACGGCGTCGCACGTCGGAAACATAGCGTCACGTGTTCCGATTTGCGACTAGAACCGTTCTTTATGCTAACACCGTTCCGCAACATTACACGACACGCTAATGCGTAAAACTGTCGATGTCCCCTTTCGTTCAACGCACGCAGCCTTCTCTGATGCAGACAGCAGATGCCCCTGCCCCGGAAATCACTACACTCCCCGGAAACGGGAAAGAGGGTCAAGTTTCGTTGGTGGCGGGGGGTGGGGGCAGCAGACGGGAAATTATGATGCATCTGTGCTGCACCGAGGGTTGAGCTCGACACCTTGGTGCACGCCGCGTCAATGACCCTGTGGGTAAAGGCCCGCGTGTTCGCCGGTCGTCGCGGCGCCTCTGACCTGGTTAAGCGTACCAGCGACTTTACCTAACCGAAGCACCGTCTGACCGGGGGGTCGCCGTGGCGTGAGCTTTCTTACTCCCGCCACGCAAACCACGAACGCTTGCTGAGCTCGCGAGAGCCGCGGCCAACACCGAGCATGCCGCTGGGAGACCACCGGCGAGGCGCACTCACCGAGGCAATAAACCGCGGCAATCTTGGTCAGGTCCTGCTCGACGAACTTGCCCATGTCTTCCGCCCACGAGCCGAGCTGCGGCTCGGCGACCCAGCCTGGCGTGCGCTCGTGAGGCATGGTGATGCGAGGCGTGCGTCCGGTCGTCTGCCGCGCCGCCGGGGGCCGCCGGCCCCAGCCCGCCCTATCGGACATCGTGCCGCGCTGCCGCCCCTGGCCGATCCGGCCACGATAGACCGCGAGCCGCAGCGCTGGCGTGGTGCGAACGCGCAGGTGCCAGGAGCCGACTTCCGCTCACAAGAAGGGATGCGCCGACTCTTGTACAAATCTATATTTCGACAAACAGTGCATAAAACACAACACAAACGCCGCTGCGCCGGCTGACTGAGGGCGAGTCGGATCACATAGCGCCCGGCGGCGGCGACGGCGGGCGACGGAGACTGCCGCCGCCGCGCGCCGCCGGACCGACCGACCCGCTTCCCCGCCTCCGTCGGGGGCGTCCACACGAGCTGAGCTGCAGAAATGCCCCGGCCGAGCGGGCGCCGGCGCCGCCAACGCACGCCCCCGACGCGATGGCATGACGTGGCCGGCGGCGCCCCGCCCCTCGCGACGGGCCACTGTGTCCAGACGCGGCACCCCACCTCCTCGCGCGCGCGGCGATCACCCGAGAACAAACACGCCGTCTGGACGCGCGCGCGCGCCGGCACTATTGCCGAATTCCTCCGATCACTGTCGCCGTCACTGTCACGATCACTGTCGCTGTCACTGTCACGATCTCTGTCGCCGTTACTGTCACGACCTCTGTCGCCTCGAGTCTTCGACGCACACACACACACACTGAGTAAAGCCGCGGGCGCGCCTGCGCGTCGCCTCGCAATAAAACAGTCACCGCGCGCACGGCGCCGACGGTCGCTCCAAGCAGCCGGACGAGCCGCCGCCGGCTCGTAGCGCCGGCCGGGAAGCCCCGAGCCAGCCGACAAACGCACGCGCTGGGGAGCGAGTAACACGAGGCGGGGACAAAGAGAACAAACCCGCACAGAGCAGCTGCCAATCACCGATGCGAATTATTGCGCCGCGAGCACCAAGTAGGAGCTGAGCTGGGCGAACGACCATCTGGAGGCGACCTCATCCCGTGACATCACTGGGTAAAACTGCGCCTCGGAGGACCGGCACCGTGCGGCCCCGCCGTCGCAGCACGGGCCGGCGAGCCGTAAGAGATGGCGCCACGCTTCGTCTAGGTGTGGCCCGGGCCGCCGGCGCCGTTGGCTCCATCCGACAGGCTCAGGTGGTCCAGCTCAGAGGCCATCTGGCCGGACGGGCCGCGACAGGCCTCGCCACCGCTCGGCCGGGCCGGAGCCTCTTCCGCGGGCACGGCCGAGTCGCCAGTCAACTCCTGCCCCGTCACCGGGGGCGGGGCGCACCCCGGCGGGACAGGCGGGCCGCAATCTCCGGCCGGGGCCGGGGCCGGGGCCGGGGCCGGGGGCGCCGCCTCAGTCGGGCGCTCGGGCGAGGGCGGCGCGCAGCGTGGGTGCTGCGGCGGCCGCGGCGCCGGCGACACCAGACCCTCGCGGGGCCGCTTAGTGCCGCCGGCCGCCGGCTCCACCGTCCCGCGGCCGCCGCCGTTCCGCTCCGCCGCGGCGCGCCGGCGCATCTCGGCGTTCAGTCGGTCGACGAGGCGCTGTTTGCGCGCGCGGCGCGCCTGCTGCTCCTCCTGAAGGCGGCGCAGCCGGGCGGCAGCGGCCGCCGCGCCGCCCGGCCGGGCCAGAGGCGGCCCTGCCCGCCCCGCTATGGGCGGCGCAGTGAGCATCGCGCGCAGCAAAGGAGTGTTGGGCTGCGAGCCGGCGCGCGGGTTGGGCGGACCGCCCGACGGCTTGACGTGAAGAGCGTCGCTCGGAACACTGCGCGAAGAACCAGAGGTAACGCTGCGCGCACGGTCGCCACGTGCGCCCGACAGCACAACATCAGACGTAGAGCCAGCCGACGTGCCGGGCTGGCCGTCGGACCGAGCGGGCGACGGAGCGTCGCTCTGCGCGGGGGACATGTGGCGGCGCCGCGAGGGAGACTTGTGGCAGCGGCGGCCCTTCGGCCTGCAGGTCGGCGCCGGGGCGGGCGCCGCCGGACCGCCGCCTCCCTCCCCCGACATGCTGAGCAGCGCCGCCACGGCCACATCTTCCGAGGAGCCCGGCGGCCCGGGCCGCGACGTCGGCAGCGGGTCGCGGTACGCGCAGGGGCTCAACTTGCCCATGTCGGTGGGGGGTCGGAGCATGGGCCGCCGGAACGGGCCCTCCATGACGGGCACCTCGGGCTCCGGCGAAGACAGCTCGTCGCCGCTAAGCAGGGGCTCGTCCCAGCCGTCGGAGTCGCGGTCGCTGTCGCTGCCGCCGCTGACGTTCAGAGCTCCGGGGCTCAGCGACTGCGGCGGCGAGAGGTCGGGGCACGACTCCTCTCCATCAGGCGACGACGACGGCTCGTCCGGCGCGCCGGCGCCCAGCACGACCGCCTCTCGCAAGAGCCGCCACAGTCGCCGCGGCCGGATCCGACGCTGTCCGCCGTCTGTGTCCGGGTCCGAGTCAGAGTCGGAGTCCGAACCCGATGGCGAATCCAGCTCCGCGGCGCACCCCGGTCCCGTTCCTCGCCGCGACGCCGGCCTCGGCTCATCCTCCGACCGTGGCTCCCGCTCTGGCTTCGGCTCATCCCCTCGCCGCCGCGGCTCCTCCGCTCTCCGCGTCTCCCGCTCTGCCTCCGGCTCCCGGCCGTTCTGCGTCCCCGGCTCCGGCTCCCAGGCGCTTCGCGTCTCCGGCTCCGGCTCCGGCGGCAGCGACACGTCGACGGTCAGCGGCCGCAGCTGGCCGGCGCCCACCTCGAGCTCGGCGCCCAGCTCCAGCTCCAGCTCCAGCTCGGTGCCCGCCTCGCCCGGCAGCCGCAGCGCCTCGCCGTCACCGGCGGCCGGCGCGCAGTCGCAGACGGGATCGTCGGCGAGCACGCCGCACTCGCGACAGTGGTGAGGCGGCGAGCGGCAGCCGGCCAGCAGCAGCGACACGTCGGCGCCGGGCTGCAGCGTCTAGCCGTCCTGCTTGAGCCGGCTGAGGGCCTCCCGATACCGCTGGGCCAGCTGCTCCGTGCCCTGTGGCGCAGAGGCGGCGCCGTCGCGTCAGAGCGCGCCGCGGGCAGCGCGCCGGCCGAACGGCAACTCCTCACGTCAGTTCAAGAGCACTCTGCTGGCGAGACGGCGCGAGCAGCGCGACATGGGGCTGCAGCACCGCGGCGCGCTGGGCTTGAGGGGGGGGGGGGGGGCGACGCGCCGGGTTGGAGCTCACTGAGAGGGGATTAGTCCCAAAGGTGTTGGTACAAAGTGCTTCGGCGGAAAGTGAGACAAGGTAATTCTCGAGTCTGACGGTGCCTGAAACGGCGACGGAAAGTCGCCACTTTGATGGCCAGCCAGGAAGGACTGATCTCAGAGGCAACTGACATGGCAACAGCACACATACGGCGAGGAAGTACCGCATCATCTGCACTGCGGTGGGACCCGGCGCCGGTTCCGCAACGGCGTACCGTACCCGTGCCGATAACCACCGCCTCCGTACCTGCACTTTGATGGGGACCATCGGCCGCTCACGCTCGGCGACTGGCTCTATCAACTGTGTTATGATTGTCTGGAGCGCATGCTGGCGACCATCTGAAGCACGCCGACAGCCGCGTCATCAACGGCGGGGGCCGACACTGACGGACGTCTCCAGCGGGGTGCGGCCCGGCGCACCGGGCCGCACCCCGTGTGACGGGACCGTGCGTGCTCGCGTCACTCACCGCTGCACGTGACACGGTTACAACAGAAAATACGCACGGCGTGCGCACATAGACAACACCATTAACATAGACGCCACATTCGAATAACCAACGAGGCGTCAAACGGACGCAGCAAACACGGATTGGAATTCTAGACAGCTGAAAACAAGTGCCAGATAATACGGCGGGGCACGATACGAGGCATCCCTCGCCACCAGTCAACGGAGCAGCCAGCCTCGGGGTCACCCACCGTCCAGCGTTTGCTCCAGCAGATTGCACCACTTGTTCCGGACGTCTTCGGCGGCAACCCGGTCCTGCTCCCTCTCCGACTTCGCTAGGTCGACCAGGGCCGGGACGGTGCCCTCCTGCGTCAGCTGAGTAGCTTCCGCCGGATTACCGGACAGGAACATCTCCACCGTGTGCTTGTTCAGCCCCTGCGGCACGCCCCGGTGACCTAAGCATGACGTCACAACGGCGTCCGGCTCATGACGTCACGACGGCGTCCGGGTCACGGCCGGAGTTGTGGCGAGTGTTTCACAGTAAGCTATCGTAGCTGACTCGGGATCAGAGTAAGGTCCAAAACCTTGAGCACAACACCAGCTGGGCGGGTTTTGTAGCGCACTTCCGGTGATGGATCGTGGGTCCTAGAGAACACATCGTATGGACCAGTGATGCCCAACGTGATTGCCTTTGGTGTGTGTCGATGATACTTAACGTCATCGAGTACCACAAACATGAAAGGAAACATGTGCTGGCACCCGCCTATAAATGGGTAAGGGCTAGACACCCGGTGCAAGCAAAAACCAACCGTCCACGGTGCAGTACCAGAAACAAACGGCGCACACAGCAACGCACACACACCAGACACATTACTCCTTGCCAGTGCCGTCCCACCAGACAACAACCCTGGCAAGTCATAACCAGCCCTACACGCCCAGTGCGGCGTGCTGAGCGGCCCGCACCCCAGCCGTCCGTGTTCGCCCTCCCGCCCGGCGGGGAGCCGGGCCAGGGCGGCGCCTCGCTCGCGACACGGCCGTACCCGGACGGCCTGTCGCCGGAAGTTGGCCAGCTGGTCCGGGTCCAGGCCCAGGTCCGTGCGTCCGTCGGCCTGCTCCGCTATCAGCTTGTCGTTCTTGGTGCACGCCTGCATCAGGTACAGCAGCGACTCTGTGTACCTGCCGGGGCCGCGATGCGCGGTGTCAGATGAAGGCTGTGTAAGGCAAGGCAGTCGAACAACGAATGTGAGGTATGAACGCAGTCGCAGAACGTCGCGGTCGGCTACGCAGTGGCCGCAGTGACCGAGTGGTAGATATGTGACGGATTCGTACCAGGACAGG